GGATTGGTGAGGAACATTTTACATGGTTACAGTCTAAAGTACATATACAGTAAGTAATATAGTAAGCTACAACATGACCACAAACTGCAGCTTTAAAAATGGCCAGAATTGAATCAACACTTCTCTGTCTTGCAAAAATCTAAAACCTTCACAAAGACGAGGCTATTGTTATTTTAACAGAATTGCGTTTCAAATTGTAAACACAGACTATGTGATCTTACCTCCAGCCAGCATGGCAGTGAGGACTATCCCACAAGCCCAGATATCTGCCGGCTGAGCTTTGTACTCCGTTTGGCTGAGAAGCTCCGGAGCCACGTATGGAAGCGTCCCACAGAGTCGACTTAGAAGACGTTCTCGTCCTTTGAAACGAAACATCGTGGCCAGGCCGAAATCTGTCAGCTTCAGGTTATCTGAAGGTAAAGAACAGCAACAGGCTAAGGTTATAATAAATACTGAACAAAATTATTCCTTAAACATGTCAATACACATTGTGTTTCCTCACCTTTGTCATCCAGCAAAATGTTCTCCGGCTTTATGTCTCTGTGGGTAATGCCAACACTGTGGAGGTACTCCTGCAAAAGTGCAACTGAAAATTTAATGACACCACAAACTGGTGCAGGAGATCACATCGACAAACAGATTTATTTCACTCACCACAGCTGCTATTAGCTGCTGGAAAAATCTATGGGCATCTTTTTCTGCCATTCCCACATCAGGCTCTAAAATGAAACAAGAGCATTTCAATAACCTACATGAATAACCACCATCCAAACATTTCTACAGGGCTGCAAACAGACTGTTGATCAGGCTGATATCAGACGTTTAAGTATCTACAGAGATAAATTAGACTCAAAATGGTAACAAATGTGTATTACATGATCTAACGCCAAGCGGTGGGGCGCTACAGGGAACACTTTTCAACTGGGGGACAGACGGACTGATATTTGCAGGCGACTGAATAGTCTATAGTTGGTAAATGTACATGTTCTAATCGAGGGACGACAAGCTCTTTGCCTGTTTAGGAAAACATCTTTCCCACTTTCAAATTATACAAGAATTCACCGAAAGTCCTGTACGCACATTTAACAATCTGTAAATAAACATTAAAGAATGTCACAAATATCCTTACAGATTTGTATACACTGGAGGCTTTTTGAAATCAAAAGTTAAATTTAGAAATATTTATGTAAAATATCAATATTTATTCAGGCTGTGATGTGTGCATTTTGTAAAACATTTCTGACTATTTTGAGTCTAAATTCTCAGCATACGTATCAGCTATAAACTATACTCTGCCTATTTTTATAATTGGTTAAGTACACCAATTTTAATTTGAAGAGCAAAATGCATAGGGCAAATAAAAATCAAAGGTTGTATTTCCAACCATGTGTCAGTCAAGTAAATTTTAAATTAAATTTATACAAAAATAAATAGACTCAAGAATGAGCTGTGGGTGAGGCAAGTCACGGTAATTCACAGTTAATTTTGAAGAGGTTTTTGATGATCTGAAACTGAATACTTGGTTACATTGATTCTTGACATTACAGTTGTAATGTCTACCATAACTATCAGACTTTCGGTCACACCCTCCAAGAAAGCAGTCCTATGTTTGCCACCTGCAGTTGTCTCACTCACCGATTCGGTCGAAAAGCTCTCCACCGGTGCAGTACTCCAGGAAGAGGTACACAGTCGGCCCTTCCTTCCGATGGCCAAAAAACCGTACAATGTTGGGGTGATTGAGCATCTACCAAACAGGAGTAAATGTTGTAGTGTAAGTGCACAGGTCATGATTTACATAAAGCAATGTTCTCAGCCAGCGTTTTTGGTTAAATAAGTTTTAAAAATTCAAATAACCTGGTTAACACACTTTATACTCTTACACTTCAGCCAGTAAACACTGACTAAATTGAAGGTGACTGACCAACCTTATGGACGCAGACCTCCTTCTTGACATTTTCAGCACACTCTTTAGCCTGGGAGGTATCGATCACCTTCACCGCAACTGCCTCCTCCGTCTGCCTGTTCACCAGCAGCCTCACCCTGAGGTCACAAATACAAAGAGGCGACAGCCATTCAATGACAGAGAACGAGACGAAAAAGAGAAGAAGAACAGAGGCTGTGATGGAGAGTTAAAGTTATTCTTGTATCAACTGGGCAAGTACGAACATAGTTCTCTGAGAGAAAATCAATAGTTAAAAGGGAAATGTCACGTGAGGGGAAACAGATGAGTGTCAGCACTCAGCGGCAAACTTTATTAACTGACAAACCAAGCAGTGAATTTTTAAATTATTATGAATTCAATAATAATCACAATAATTATTATTATTATGATTATTATTATTACAGCTTATCAGATTATCAAGTGGCTCTTTTGACTTTGATGTATTTTACACTGAAAGATTTCTTTGCTGGTTTTAGAATAAGTCCTGTAAAAAGTTTTATTTTTTAAATCAACTCCATCACCTGGAGATGCACTGCTATGAAGTAAATAAATGGTATAAATGACAATGATATAGAAGGACTCATACTCTCCGTAGGCTCCTTCTCCCAGTGTCTGAACAAGGTCCCAGTCCTGCACAAAAGGTACCGCCATGCTAAAAACAGAAGCACACACACACGCGCACACACGCACACACGTTTTCCTGTTTTCACTTCATGCAGATACTGTCACTTCTAAGCAGTGTCTGCTCATTGAATAATTACATTGATATTTTATCCGTCAAAATGTTGTTCCGTAACGAAGCAACACTGTTGTATGTCATGAACTCACATGATGCACTCAACCAAACAAAACCAGCAGGTGCAAACCAACTTGTTGACTCGCACTTCAGTAACTATCTTACCTGCCTGTCTTCCTCAGCCAGCCGCGTTTTGAAAATTTACTCGACAAACTTTTTCATGTGTTTGAGGCAGCGACTGCAGTGACTTCAGCACAAATTTGGCGCGTTGTTGTTTTCGCTGGTGATAACTTCCGACATGCTCGTCACTTCCGCTTCCACTTCTTCTTCTTTGAGGTTTTATCGGCAGCGGTCATCCTTAACGTTGCTTTACTGCCATTTTTTGGAGTTAGCTGAGTACTACAGTGTCCACTTTGTAGTTCTTCCACAGGGAGGCACTAGAGAAAAGGCCATGGGCTCAAAACGTTTTTGCTGATGGAGGCATGAATGTGTTCAGTCTATTTCTAAGATTGATAGATTATGAGGTCAGTTGATATTTCGGGCAAAGAGCCGGTAAATGCAAGTGTTCAAAATGAAAAATGTTTTCCCTTTATAAGGGGATTCTACTCAATCAATTATGTTGAATAAAATTTAATTATAAATGTTCCACTCCACAACATGAACTGTGACAGACCAATCAGTCTGTCCTGAAATGAGAACAACTACTTAATTGTCACTGATGTCAAGTCTCTCTCTGCCAACTGGAAAGCCCACATTTAACACATGTAATTCACAAAGTTCACTAAAGGAAACACTACAGTACTACTTGTGTGACGTCTTTGCATCAATACAGTGACATCCCTATTACCTGGTCTTGATCAGTTGTGACAACAGCTCTTTGAAAAGCTGAAAAAAGTTGAAAATACATATCAGACTTTTAAATCATTGCTGAAAATAAAAGTTAAACCCTGAAAGAGTTACTGAACAGGTCCAGGGACCCAAGAGGCCAGAGGCTCTGTTTGAAGAGACTTGTAACACACCCACTGCAGTACTTTGCAGTGACGTTACAGGTTCTTGATTTGACCAACCAATCTCAGCAAGGGGCACAAGACCACAGAAAAAGTTTAAAAGCTTGGTTTATTGCTTCATATGAATAAACTAAAAATCAATGGGGAAAACATCTGCGCTTATGGCGATACTCTAATTCCTTAATTATCAAGAAAGAAGGAGAAAACAGTCAGTGTTCTACTCACAAGAGAGGAAGCGAGAAGAGGCCAAGGCCGAAGGTAAGATGCGGCGCAGGTTGGTTGCCTATCTGGCACAAAGCAGACATAAAGTCTCTCTACCCCCAACATACACACCCAAAACTACTCATAATCAGTGCAAATTGGTGTTAAGGTGATGATACAGGGCTGTACTATTGTAGACTTAAAAGTCAATCAAATGACTACAAAGAGATGCAAGATGTTCACAAAAAAGACACAAAATAACCCCAAGCCCACGCAAAACAACCACAAAGAGATGCAAAATGACCACAAAAAGAGACACAAACTGAAAGAGACGCAAGACAACTGCAAATAACTTCATACGTTTTCCTGTGCCGACATTTCTTAAAAGAGATGTTTTTCTCAATCAAATGTCAGAAAGAGCAACTATTAAACCAGTCTGGGATGACTGGGAATTCAATCAATAATTGAATCAACATGCCAATATGTAAATCTCCACAGTGCCTCCCTATTTCGGGAAATGATGAGACAAATATTTGTTCTTGGTACTTTGTACTCTGGTTAATCAATTACTTTTTGTTTGTTTTGTTGTTTTTTAATGCAACATGTGACTGTGTGTGTACACATGACTGGAAATCCTGGATCAAAGACAGAGAAGCTATGGCCTAGTTAAGGTCAGGACACACAAAAAAACAAAGCAATGCTTAGAGAGAGTACTATTTAGACTACAACGGTAAAAATTAATAGTCAAACTTAACTGTACTGAATTTATTTAAATGTTCCCAATCTTTCAGACAAAAGGGTCAACATATAAGATTTTTCTTTCCCCTTTTAAGAGTTTTAATATTTGAATGCACTACCAGTTATTTGAATATAGTAAGTCAAAAATATAGTTAATTAAAGGTGCTTTTCGTATTTCTACAGTATATTAATCAAGTTGGTTTTAATGAATTATTTTTATTTTAATCTTGAGGTCTTATGCAATGGTAAAATTTGGTGGAAATTTGTTTGTTGTGTCATAGAGTATTGATCCCCTTCTATTTATCATAAAGTTAATAAGTACCAGGATGGTCTTTTATGGTTCAGCCCTACTCTGCAAACATTGCTGTCCATTTTGCAATAAATGTAAGGCTCCTGCAAAGTCCTCTCATTTTTATATTGTTCCCCAGTTTATGGTTCACCATGGGATTTTCTGTCCCCTGGAGCTGGTTTGCTGCTCTTTCATGTGTCCTCTGCATGGGTAAGCTAATTTTTTCTTTAGATTTTAAAATACATATATATTTTTTTTATATGTTATTTTGAACTTTCAAATGTGTCAAACACCCATGTATTTATATTTATAGTAACCTATAACTAAGGCTGTTTTTTGTAAGATATAATAGAATTGACATAATAAACTTAACTAAATAATTTACGACAAAAATTTTCAAAACAAATGTGTGTAATTTGTCAGTAGCTTTAAGGATTGAAATAAAAATAATGTATATTGAAATTAGGAAAATTAAATAGCTGTTGAAAACCGTTATTAACAGCAATTTCAATATTGACATTAAAATTTCAGTGGGAAAAATACCATCCTACATTTCCCCAGTCAGAATGTTTGTTTTCTGAAATCTGAAATTTTCATAAAAAGTTTTGTTTAGTCATCACGTAATACTACTCACTTTATGGAAACAATTCTATAATGTCTGGCTATGGAGGGAGCTTCCTAAAATCTTGGCCTCCATGGCCCAAACCTGTCCTTTCTTTTCAGGAGGTGAAGTTTGGTGTGAATGCACAGAGGAAGGTATGGAAATTGAAGACGGTTATTACTCACTGACCAGGCAGCTGCAGAGTGGCAGCATGTTGTTCTACAGTTGTAAAAAGGGTTACTATCCATACCCTGTTCTGACCCGCACGTGCCAGCTTAATGGCAAGTGGAGACCCGAAAAGTCTTCGCCTCAGATATGCAAACGTGAGTTATGTAGTGATGACGTTTCTCCGTTTGCTCCAGGCTGACTGCTCAACATGACAACTTAGGTGCTTTTGTTTTGTTTTGCAGTGGTTGAATGCCCAGATCCAACTGTGCTGGAGTATGGAGATGTCTCCCCTCCTCAGGATAAGTACTTTGTTGGAAATGAGACCACGTATGAGTGCTACTCTGGACATAGACTGCGAGGCTCATTCAGACGTGTTTGTTTACCAAACGGGAAATGGAGCGGCTTCACTCCCATCTGTAGCCGTGACTGTATGTCCTGAACAGCAATCTGCTTTCTTTCTCACTCTCCTTTGTCGTTTCAAGGTTTGGGATACACCCTCATTTGTAACTTTTGTATGTATGAGTTATCTTTCGTCTTTTGTGTTACCACAGCAGGAGATAACTGTCCTGATCCTGGTGTCCCAGCTGGTACCATGAGAGTGGGGAACCTATTTGGAATTGGTGACAAAGTGAAATACAGCTGCAGCAATAATAACCTGTTTTTGGTGGGGTCAAAAGAAAGGACGTGTCTGGAGAACGGCCAGTGGACCGGCACAGAACCAGAATGTTACTGTAAGACAGAAACCCACACACACTGTTTTTTTTTTTGTTTTTTTTTTTTTAACAACAACGTGTGACATTCCCGGAACAGCTATAAGCACTGTTTTACTAACTAGTTTTGATCAAGCAAAGTGAGCTCGACTTAGTTGTGCACTCTTGTATTTTGTTAACAGTATTAACATTTAGACAAGTTCAGGTTTTGTTCCGCTGGTCTTGCCCTTTCAAAAATGCAGCCACCTGGTTAGTGGTAGGAGGTCAGTGAGGCATCATATCCTACCAACAATAACTGGTTTGAAGAGACCAGCAGATGCATGCTGATGATCCCTGACCTGCTTCCAACATTTACATGCTGCCTGAAACTACTGAGAGCTAATCCCCAGTCCCTGCGTTGATGGGCGAGAACTTTTACTTTTACCTTGTCGCAATTAGGCCTTTTGCAAACTTCTGTTATTGTGGCTTTTGCTTCTTGCAGACAAACACACCTATGACAGTCCACTGGAGGCCTCAGAGGCATTTGGCAGTGCAATCAAAGAAAGCCTCACCACTTTACAGCCCAACGGTAAGGAACTAATATGACAAATGAACTAATGAACTAATGATGTTCATGGACTAATATGATTGTTAGCATTATTTAATAGCAATGCTATATGGTCATTTATGTTATAACAGCATGTTGAGAGGTACATTTGTTAAGTTAGTCAACAAACATAAAAACTCACTCTTCTTTATAAGGACATAATACCTTATTTCTGAACATATTAATCTAAGAAACTGTATAGGTATGAATGTTTCCCTGTAACAATGCAGAAGACACTGCATGGTCTTCCGTGATGATTTTGTCTCTAGGCAAAAATGGCATTTAATGTGTATGGCAAAAGTAACAGTATTTCTAATGAATTGTGCAGGTAACGAACAGTCGGGGAAAAATTTCAGGATTTCAAAAGATGGGATACTTAACGTGTATATTGCTGTGGATATTTCTGAGAGCATAACCGAGAAAAATGTCACTGATGCAAAAGATACTATCATAAAACTTATTAAACGGGTAAGAAACAAACAGCTCTCCTTTTGATTAAAAGTTTTACACAGTTTTTTTCATTGTTATTGTGACAGAACTCTCTATTACAATATGCTGAATTTGCAGTTAACAGTCACCAACATTCTCCTGGGACTAGAGATATATTGGGATTATTTTGCTAATTGTGGGCTCCGTTTAAAAGATGCATATGGGGTGAAAGTACAGACTGTTGCTGATTGGTGTTGGCAATACATTTGCTGAGTTGATAAAACATGTTAGAAATACTACTTATTGTGACCAATCTCAACATTTAGTCAATCACTTGATCTTATAAGGAATAAAATTAAAATGTTAGAGTTTATATTGCCAGTAGCCTGGGTCAGAAATGTCAAATAGATATTTAGAAACGTTTACACACTTTTAGAAACACATTTGGCACGCTGTACACGTAACATGTAGCTACACAATCTCATTCCATTTGGTTGCCAGGGCAACAGCTCCTTAGAATTAAATTTCATTATGAATTATACATTATAATCTTGATTGATGTTTCTTGGCAAGAGTCCCTTGGCTTGTTGTCAATGCACACTATGGGATACTCTTTCTACTGATAAATGAATCAATTACTCAACAAAATAACAACCATAAGCAGTTTGATACATAAGGAGGTGTTGCATTAAAAAAACATGTGTCACAGCAGCTCCACAAGTTTACATGTGTTTACAAAGTTTTGTCAAAATGTGAAACAATATTAAAGATCATACACCTTATATTTAACTAATCTGCTTCATGTCTCCACAGATTGCCAGCTTTACTGTGTCTCCAAACTATGAAATCTTCTTTTTCTCTTCTGAGATAATTGAAGTTGTCAACATTCTTGATTTTTTGCAAAACGGAGTACAGCCAATAACAATCATTGAAGCCATTGAAGCTTTTGAAATAGGCGGTGAGTCAAACAGATCAGAGATGTTGTTGAAAGCTCAAGTTTTGAATACATGGTTTGATCTTAATGTTTTACTGTGTATTTGGACTGAAAGACCACAACACTGCTGGGACAGATCTGACACTCACCTTTGAGACCTTCTTGTCCAAAATGGCTTTCATAAAGGACAGAGTTGGAGAAAAAAATTTTACAGAACATCATCACATCCTCATGCTTTTTACAGATGGTAAGTTCAGCCAACTTCAGGGTTTAAATATCAAATGCTCTCTATGTTGTACATGATTTTAACACACTGGTGTCTTTCATTGCAGGTGCTTATAATATGGGAGGTTCGCCTTTACTAGCTCTGCAAAAAATAAAGAACATGGTATACATGGACCATAGAAGTGGAGAGAATCATCCAAGAGCAGAATTTCTTGGTGAGTTTTATGATATATTATATGATTATATGATTTCTGTTGCTATATTCACTTTCATCATTAGGCCTCACTACCATTGTTCAGATTTTTCGTTACAGACACATGCTATATGATTAGTAACATTATTGAATTATTATACAGTAATGCCTTGCTAGCAGCTTGAGCAACAGAATGTGTTTTAATGCAACGGAGAGACCTCAATTTATCCTGTTATGTTTCATTCTGTTACAGACATTTATGTTTTTGCCCTTGGAATTGAAGTCTTTGATGAAGACCTGCAGCTACTCACAACAGGGCTTGGTGGGAAGCATTACTTCAGATTGGATCAGATTACAAATTTGCAAAAGACCTTTGATGAAGTAATTGGTAAGGGATCTCAGAAAGTGAGGGCAGAAAGTTGTATTAATCTGCTAACATGTTTGAGTAATTTCTATTATTAGTTCAACTATACTGTGGGCGTGCATTTGTGTGCTAATATTTACCCTTGATTTCATCTCCACCCTCGAATTTGACACAAAGGAGGTATATGATCATAACTGGCGAGAAAAACATGCTTCTCTTGTTTCCTAAAGTGGTTAAGAGCAGGCAAAATCATCCTTCTTGATCTCATGGTGTATATGATAAAAGTCCAACACCACTGATGTTACATGGACAGATACGATAAAGTCACCCACTGGATCCCATTGATTATATACTTATACAGATCATATATCTATCTCAATCAAGAGAATTGACCATTAAAAAACGTCAAACATACACAGTGTTCCCATTAAGAAGAATAACACTTAAAATCTAAAGATGCCAATGTTAGTCTGCATGTCTTTGGTAGAGAAATGAAATATCTAAGCAACTATTGTCAGGACATTTCATACAGATATTCATGGTCCCCAGAGGATGAATCCTAATGACTGTGCTGATCCCCTGACTTTCCCTGTAGCACCACCATGAGGTGGACATTTTGGTGGTTCAGAGTGAATACATTGAAAACTGTGTGATGGATTGCCATGAAATTTGGTTCACACATTCATGTCTAGCAGCCTCAGCTGTACCTTATGTTTAGTGCCAAAAAAGCACATTTTATTAGACTTGGTGTTAACCTGTGTTCTATATCTGGATATATTATCTGAATAACGACATTTAATCCACAGATTTTTGCACCTACATCTTTTATTAATATGATCTCAAAATGCAAAGCAATTAGGACAGACTGTCGGACTTGTCAATATACAAGGCACATTTCAGGTCAAGGGACACAATGCCACAAATAGACAAACAATTTCTAAATCAGTTTTTACTGTAGCTTATGTCAAGCTTGCTATTTGATTTTGCGTATTTACGTGTGTCCAGTACAAACCTGAAGCTAGGGAGGGACTTGTCACGGATATTGATTAGCATTTACAATATCCAGTGGCACAGAATGTGTATTATGATGACATATATTTGGCATATAACAAGAAATAATGAACAGTTAACACAGGGACAAAGGATTAAAACTGGGAAAATGTCATTTTCATTTCATGGGGCTTTTAAGATAGCAACAAGAGGCGGTGTTAGATGACCTTTAACCTGACCTTTTTTTGTTTTCTTAAGGTTGTGATCAAACTGTACATCTGATTGCAGTGCAAGCCTGACCACCTCCAAATGTTGTCTGGCTGAAAAATGTGAAATATTTTTTGAAAAAAATTATGTCACTCTGAAAAAAAGCCTTTGCCAAATGAATATAATGTTTATTGAACCTTTACTCTATACTGATATAACCACGTATGTATTTGCATCAATGAACATAAGAAACTTTGAATTACTTATTTGTAATTACTGTGGATTTTTTGTTTTTGCATGCAGACGAAGACGCTGTTATGGGTCTCTGTGGTCTTCACAAGGCAATAGACAGCTACGGCTACAAGAGGGAAATGTATCCATGGTCAGCATACATTAATGTCGAGGTGAATGTTTCAGTTTTTCATTGAACCTTATAATTTATTTATGAAATAAGTCCAAATATGAATATCACAATACGTAACATAATTATTTAGGCATGAGAATGGCCAAATGTCTTCACTCCTCCTAAAGCTAAATACTTGACTTAGTGACAATACAGTGGATTCAGAAGTAGGATTTTTGGCCTTGTTTTGTTTTTGTTTTTTTTTGCTTCCTACTTTTGAGTGTTATATGTTATATAACTACTAAACTACAGTATGTATTTATTTATCATTTAAAACTTAAGACTGGAGAATCAAAGACGAGATGCCTTGGCTCTCTGGTGACCGCGAAGTTTGTTTTGACTGCTGCACACTGCTTCAAAAGAAATGATTTACCTGAGCACGTCACTGTTGAGATTGAGGATGGCCATGGCACAAGTAAGCTTACTCAAGCCTCTTCTCTTCAGGTATCTGAACATGACTTCCGGCATTTTAGCTATCATAAAAACAATCGGAGCAGTATCTAATTCAGTTTTTTGCTTTCAAAATGGATGTTTCTAGTTTTCGAAGTCAAAACCTATGCTTTGGTCCAACATTTTGATTTGAAAAATTTGTTTGACAAAATGTTCTGCTCTTCACTGATGACAGTAACAATTATACTAACACTTTCTCATTTTGTCTCTTTTACAGTGAAAAAAGTTAAAAATTTTTTTCTTCATCCACAATATAATGTTAGTGCTAGAGTGGATCAGGGCGTGCTGGAGTTCTATGACTATGATGTGGCTCTCATCGAACTGAAAACAGCTGTTGCAACCACCTATAAATCTAGGTCGGAACTGGTGTCCCACAAATACTGTCATTATTAGTTGGATTTGATGATTTGATTAGGATTTATTGATAAAACAGTTCTTACTATGAAGACAATATCCTGTGTTACAAATTGTTCACTTGGAACATCACCCTCTTCATGTCAAATTGTTTTTGGTATCTCATTCAGAACTATTTGCATACCTTGCACCTTGGAGACCAATATTGCTCTTAAACTGCCCAAGAACGCTACCTGCCAGCAGCAAGGTACAGTAACTATACCAACATGCTGCAACAACATCACATAGCTTGGTCGTCATGAATGCTAAGAAATGTAGAACAGGGTGACATTTCATGAACTGATTTTTTTATCTGACTGTTACCACTCAAAAATATTTGTAATTTTCAAAACAGCGGGCCCTTGTCTGGTAGCAGACAGAGGTAATCAAAAGCAGTCCTCTCATTTCTAGCTGGCGGCTCTCAACCAAATAAGAACTGTCAGTGGTAGATGTTTATCTGCTTTGGTTAACTAGCTAATTGAAATAAGGTAATATTAAATGTTCATAAGCAATAAATTGAAAATTGAAAATAAAAAAAATTGAAAAATAAAAAAATATTGAATACTTATGAGTACTTCATTAATACAACAAAAATAATAAAGACAAAAGTTTTATATTTCATATTCATATAAAACAAGCTTTACAACTGCATTATATAATATTGTCAATCATTATGCTACAGATGCTAAATTCAGAGGATTTATAGTTGATGCCAAATGCATTATTAATCACTTAAAATGTTCTTATATCACCTTGTAATTAGCGTGAGTGTGGTCAGGTGTGTTGTTAAGCATTTCTTTATTGTTATTAAATATACCACTTAGAAATGCTAAATAGGGGGAGGTTGCCAAATTTTCTTCTGTCAATTTAGTGGCCTTGCATTTAAAATGAATATCTATAGGACCTCAGGTTACTGTATTTTTGTGTTCTCTAAATACAGAGGAGCTTCTTTTAAAGGATCGTATTGAAAAGCTCAATTTCCTGACCAAGATAAAGTCTTCAGTAGAAGAAAAAGATGCCTACATTCACCGTGGTGATACTGTGAGTTTTAAATTACTGAGCTTCCCTTGTGTGTGTGTGTGTGTGTGTGTGTGTGTGTGTGTGTGTGTGTGTGTGTGTGTGTGTGTGTGTGCGCGCGTGCGTGTGCCTGCTTTGTTCACTTTTCACTTAAAATCTAAAAAGTCACTTTGAGCTATTGTTCTTCTTCCAATTCTCCAATGCAGAGAGATGCATGCATCAAGCATGCGCTACATGCAAAAACGATAATAAGAACAGATAAGGCAGAGGTTGCTGTGACTGATAACTTCCTGTGCAGTGGTGGTCGGACCATTGATTATAGAAGCCATATAGCTTGTACAGGTATGTATTCTGTTTTTCATGTATAGAAATTATTTCCCTACTTCAAGAGGAGCTGATAGTTTTCCCATAAACATTTTTTGAATTGAGCTAAGCTAAACTAATTTCACCAAAATACATGCAGACACATTATAAAGGCATTCGGTTGTGTCTTATTTCAGGTAAGTAAGGAAAATGGCATAACACCCCAAAACAAAAATGCAGTTTAATTTCCAACATTTTTATCTTTTCCAACCTCAGTTATCAAGTAACACTTGCTTTTGAACTCTTTATACATGATGAAAAGTAGGTATGTTATTCAATTTATGAAAAACAGTGGTGTAGGTCAAAAACTGAAGCCTATTATTTTCTGTATTTTTTGGGACAGGTGACTCTGGAGGTGCTGTTTACAAGGACTTTGAACATCGCACTGTTCAGGTGAACAGTTGTTCTTCTCCATGCATCCAACATTATATCACAAATGAGCAACATCTTGTGGCAAAATATTTCCAAAATAAAAGAAAATCCCTATAAATTAGGTTATGTAATTTGACATTGTGAATTGTTGTTGACTTTATGATTTCTTTCACAGATTGGTGTGGTCAGCTGGGGAAACAAAAAGATGTGCTCTGGGGGAAGTCTCAAGGAGTCAGATAGTACCTCCCGAGATTTCTTTCTTAATCTTTTCAGGGTTGTCCCCTTCCTCAAATCAATCATTGGAGTTACCACGAGTGATGGGTATTCATCACTTACCTTTTTGGAGTAAATGTATTTACATACTGTACTTTGTTTTGCCATTTCATTGATATGATTTGTGTATTGTATGTGTACTGTATGTTTAAAAACATGTTATTTTGCTTATTGATCGTTTATCAGACTGAGTTCAGAATGAAAAAGGTACAAATAAAAATATTTAAAGAATATAACATTTTCTCATTAAAAGCATACATACATACCGTATATACATAGATGCATATTCACAAAAAGGCAAAAAAACACCCATTACCCATTCTCAAAAGGTAGTCAGTGCATGTAAATAGTTACTAGTTATGCTTTTCTTTACTTTATCCAGTCTGCACATACATTGATTCAACATGTTCAGTGATCAACTAGTGTGTAAAGAAGTTAATAAATCAGCATTGACCTGGGTCTAGATTTTTTTTTGAAGAGAAAACTAATCCAAATGGTTAACACACCCTGAATTAAGGTCTAATCTATCCATTGTTTGTGTTTCAGTGGCTATTCATATAATATTGCTGACTGTTAGGTCAGTGTTTCTAGACCACCAGCAGAATTGATTTATGTTGTGTTGCTCATGATATTTGTATCATTGTGAAAATTGACTTGTACTTGCCAGATAAAAAAAAAAAACCTGGAACAGCCAAAACAGACATTCCTTTTCCCCGTTTTTTTTTTTTCTGTAGATTTTCCAAAAACCTTTACTAAATCATTGTATACTGTATATTGATAATGCAATATGAAATTACCCTTTCTCTGCTAGACATTAATATTGGCCCTACCTTGGACCATCTGCTTTGTGCCTGATTTAAAGTTTATTTTTGATCAGAACAAAACAAACAAACCAGCTCCTGTAGATCGCAGTCTCCAGTATCACAATTCTCTTATTAACTATATACATATACACATACATACATATATGAATTATACATGTATATATACTTATATAACTTCACATATATAACTTGCACATTGTTCGCTGTGTCTATGCGGGATTTGAACAAGGAAACTTTACTTAGAAAATCATTTGAAGAAGAAATTCTTCTTATCATAATTTACATGACACACTGTTTATGCATTAACAATCACAGGTTATTAAACTGTTTCCTTTTTTCAGGCCTTTTCCAAACCTGCATAAAAAAGGAATGACTAAAAGAATTACTACAGCACTTAAAAGGTTTCATCAAAACTCTTTTATGGATGCTCAGCTCTGCTGATAGAGCCGTCCAGCTCCCCCTTAGGTCAGTGACTCAGGGCTCCTTTCCAGCTCTCTGTGCAGCTCTACGCAATGCGGACACTCAGTCTGGCAGCATGCCAACTTAGATCATTCAAACTGGATTTAATGGAAAGTTAAGTTATTTTTTTTGGTGTATAATTAAGTTTTTTCTTTCTCTCTGTGGCTTTGAGATGGAAATGAACTGAGTTTCTCAATCATTGTCCTGTTTTTATAGCCCACAAACAAACACAGCCATTGCATTACGAATGATTTGTTGTGGTCAAATCCAGTTTATGGTTTCAAAATCATGTTATGTTACTTTGTAACTGTGATCTGTTGACCATTATGCTGTCAGACTTTGCCTCAGTGAAAACTTACATTTAGCAATTCTCTTTACTAATGCATATTGGCTAAATGTCCAACATCAAAGAGCAGTGGTGGATTTTCAACATCAATGTTAGGTTTTCTCTGAGATGGTGAACCTTGTACGTAAGGGAGTGTCTGCCTATGTGTGTGTGTGTGGTGGTTTGTAGGGTCAGTGATGTACTGGCTTCCCATGGGAACATTCATCTGGTTTCCCTTTAACTAAATGGCAGAGAGGGAGGAGGTCAGTGGGATGACGAAGGGAGGCAGAGGCAGAAGAAGACAGACTGTGTGAGGGGAGCTGAATGGGAGAGGCTTAATTGAATGAAACTCTCTCCTGGTCTCAGATGCTGTAAACAAAGAGGAAATTTAAAACGAGACTGATTTCTTATTGAATCCCCCTGGAGGGTTCAGGAACCTCTCTGTCTTTTCTTTTATTATTTAGAGCATCCCCTGATAATACAGACGTCCTGTACCCCACCTTCAATTTAAACAATGCAGGAACAGTTAGACTGAAATCAAGCGACATCTAAACTGATTAGCAGTGTACGGATAGAGCAGCATGCATGAGGACAGTATATTCATGGCAGCCCCCCCCCCCCCATTCCCTATTCAACGCTAGCACACACAGCATATTCCTGATGAAGCATCCTACTGTTTAAACTCTGGCTGATCTGTCTCTATGTAAGCCCTAAATCAACCTTATGGGCCATTTTAGAAATTGCTACCATTAAGAACTGCACACATACACTTTCCCCCTATTTGTGCTCAGAAAAGCAGGTCACGCTCACAGGCAACCATGGTTTCTGCTGATCCTGACGCTTGAATATGATATTATAGATGGCCGAGGAGATCTCCCTTGGCACTAAACTGTAATGTCGAACATTCATCTGGATAATCTGACATGTGTCTGAGCTTAGTTTGAGAAATTTGATTTAACTTGGGAACAGTCTATTTTTTTCCTGTTTATTTCCATTCACCAATCTTAAAGGAAAACCCAGAAATTTAAGGAAAATATTTGCTTTTGCAAGATGTAAGAGGTAAGATAGATTAGAAGAATGATATGAAGCCACCACGAGCAGACAGTTAGCTTAGTTTAGCACAAAGACAGAAAACGGGGAAATATCTAGCCTGGCTCAGTCCAAAGGTAACAAAATTCACTTACCAGTATCTCTAAATCTCATTCATATGTTATATGTAGTTTGTGTAATCAGATATAAAACATGTTAACTGTGAGCTTTAGCGGTGGCTAGCTAACTTCTGTTTGTTTTCCCCTGTTTCCAGTCTTTATGCTAAGCTGACCTGCTTACTCTGGCTTCGTTTGTAGCTTACTGAAATGAGAGTGACATTGATCTAACTCAAGAAAGCAAATCCCAAAATGTCAAACTAACATTCTTTTAATTAGTTAAAAAAAAATTTATTCAAATAAAATAAATAAATAACTGTACACATGAATGTTATGTTGTTATCATGTGCACTATAGAAATGCATGTTGACAATTTGTCAATTTCTGAATTTCTTTTGTAATCAAAGTGTTGAGTCATTTGACACATTTATCAGACCAATTTTACAACTTTTTCTTCTTTTAAAAAAAAATAAATCTATCAGCCTATTATTGTAAGTAATGGAGTCCTACATGAACATGATGTTGAAGATGCAACAATTATGATTATATTACAACCTGGATTTCTCAGGATTTCTCTGTTTTCGTCTGTGCAGCTAGTTTGAACTGGGCATGCCTTGATTGGTAAGAGGTGATGTCATGACAATTGAGAGGGTGTTTGCTTATGTTGCAAGGCCTCTGTCAATCAAATCTGATCAAACCACACCCACACAGTACTAATGAATCAGATTCGCTGAGTTGTTGAGTGGTAAGGATATCCATTTGTGAACTTTAATTTAAGTTGATTAAAATATCATTTGTTGCAAAGAGATATTTAAGATTTGAAACCTAATTTTCAGGGGCTTTAAAAATAAAGGAAAGAAAAAGTATACATCGATTGTCCTGATGGAGATGTCAGCTGTGTTGGCAATCTGTCTTGCTTTGTCCTGAAACACAATAAGATAAAAACGCTGCAAGATGGACCTGAGAGAAATATTGTATAATATCCCTGATCGAGTTAGAGGAGATCATTTTCATGTAACACTTTTGTAATGATAATACCCAAAGCCTCAGTAATAAAGGAAGGAGTGAAATCTGCCTCTTGTCAGCGTTTACGATGAGAAGCACTTGCATGATTAGATGTCTTGCGATCGATGCAGCCTCTTCTCCCAATCATTAAGACTGCTCTTAACAGATTACAGCCCCCTCCCAAACACGCACAGGCTTTTCTCCTCCTTTTCCTGCTCCTCCTTCTGTCTCACATACTCTATTTTTCAGAGCAGGGGACTCGCCTCTTGAGCACTTCTTTAGCTTTCTCTCTGAATTTGAACCTTTTTTGGAGCATTTTCTCACACCTGAAACAAGAGCTCGCATCTTGAGATAGAGTTTATCTGGTCCCGTGTAAGCTCCACTGATGTCCAGATAAACAGACAGTGGCATGAAAAAAGACTGAGAGGTGGTGGTGAATTGGTGACTACAACTGACAAAGATGGATCTGCTAACAATCTTCTGTCACTTACTGCTTTTATTTTTTGATCCATCTACAGCCACAAGCCTCATCACAGGTAAGCCTGCACACAAAAAACACAACACAGCATAAAAACATTAACTCTTGATTCACTTGTGGCTCTGTCTTTGGTTTCCTGACGGCCTGCCATCCTCACTCTATACGCTGGATGTTTGGTTCTTGAAGCGGATGTATTTGAAGCCAGAGGTAGGCGACACACTCCTACTAAAATACAGTTTTATGAACACTTCCACAACAAACTCGTATCTTTAGTAGTAGGTATAAAATTCCCATAATTCCCACAGTAAGGCCATTTCTTGTAGTCAGTGCTCTAACAGACTATTTAAGCGATGCCTTTGAAAAAATTTCAGTGCACGTCTGGCACATGTAATGAGGTGAATGTGTGTGTGCAGGTCAGCATGTGTGCAAGGCAGGGAAAGGGAGGCCGTGTTACAAGCTGGCCTATTTCTCAGAGCTCCGGCGGAGGCTGAACTTTGTGGAGGCAGAGCTCGCCTGCAAACGGGACGGAGGGCAGCTGCTGAGCGTGGAGACGGAGGCTGAGCAGAAGATCATTGAGCAGCTCATCACAGAGCTCCGTCCTACTGATGGAGACTTCTGGATTGGTCTCCGCCGTAACCATGGAGATGAGGATAGCAGCTCAGACTGCTCCTCACAGTACTACTGGCTGGATGGCAGCAAGTCTACATTTAGGTGGGTCTAGAGTGTAAAAAATTAAAATCAAAGGGGTCAAAAAAATCCCTCAGTTTAGCCCCTCAAATTTTGAAGAATTTTAGAGCAATAAAGGGAAATGTCCTATTTCCCAGTGCTGGTTAATTTTCCCTGTCGATTGGACTAATAATAGGTTAAGAATCATAGAAATAGGTTATAAACATATTTTTCAACAAAACCATTTTTTATGAAGGCATAGTTTTGAAATAAGACAGTAAATGTTGTCTTTATTTTTTTCTTTAGGCCTGTACCAATATTTATTTTGAGAGCTAAAAAAAACTGATAACTAACCTATACTATATAACCAACATATTTTGACATTTCTGTACTGCAGGTTCTTATTGGCCAACATAGATGCAGATGCAGATATTTCTACAATAAGTTAATATAGGCTGATATGTCAGCCTGGCCGATTCATCGGTTTTCTTCTAATGTTGTCTAAACACAAGCATCCGTACAACACTTTTGTCTAAATAAAACAGTTGGAATGGATCTAAATTAGGAACAATATCATCAAGAATAACTAAATACAAAATCCGACCAGACATTCGACAGTTAGTTTCAATACTCAGTGCTACAGATATTTTTGGGACACTACCAGAAAAAGTATTGGCGTCTGATACCAAGCATTTGTCTCATTATAACTGGACAGCGTTTTAATTTTTATCTTATTTATTAGCTTAATTTAGTTACGTTTTCCTTTTTTACATTTGGGAATGTAAGTTTTGTAAACATTTCCATTCAGGCATCTTTGAAAAAAGCTGATCATGTGCTTTGTGCGTATGATTGTTGTAGGCACTGGCACTGGGACGAGCCATCATGCGGCTATGAGGTGTGTGTGGTAATGTACCACCAACCATCTGCACCTCCAGGTCTCGGGGGGCTCTACATGTTCCAGTGGAACGATGACAATTGCGAAACCAAGAACAACTTCATCTGCAAATACACTGCAGGTACTGCCGCACACTAATTCAGTGGTCTTTTACTTTGAAAATACTTGAACATTGTTGACTGCAATTTATATTCTCCTCAGAGAAGCCACTGGAGCCTTCCCCCTCTCCCAACTCCACTCAAACAGGTAAAATGTGCTCAGAATGCCTGTTCAAACAATGACATAGTACACAGTTTAGAACAGATTTTGCATACTTTAAGAATGACTTTGCTCAATATAGAGTGACACAGTCTGACCATCATGGATACCTTTCATTACAGATGTACACTCACTACTCTGATGCTGTCATATGCAAACGCCAACCTGACAGTCACTAAATCTGCATCTCTGTTGACTGTGTCTTTCTTTCAGCTCTGAATTTGGTTTACATCATCATTCCCACCATTCCCCTGATACTGCTGTTGCTGACAGTGACTGGAGTCTGCTGCTTCAAACTGCTTGTCAGACGGTGAGGATCCAAAACAAAAGCAAATGTTAAATACTAAGGACACCTGATGATAACGAACAACTCCAATTTGAAACACGACCAGCAGTGTGAGCTTTGTCCCACTGCATTTCGAATATCAATACAGTTCAGTTCAGTTCATTACTGAACAAATTGGCTCCAAGGCTATTTATTTACTTCATATCCTCATTGTATGATGATCATTGTTATAAAAACTAGCTCACCATTTCATAGGACCGTCTGTAAGCTACAGCCCTCAAGAGGCAACATCATGGCGCTAATTTCCATTTACAGTTGTCACTGATTATTTCTGTTATCTAGAAAAAAACACAATGTAACAGACAGTGTGTCCTTGACTGATAAACTTCATGGCTTAATGATCAGTGTGGTGTTATTCTATACTTTTCCTCGTGTCAACAAGTCCTGGGAAAAGATCAAAAGTAAAGTTTTATTACATCTTTCAATACTTTCTGACTTCCCTACTCTGTCTGAGGTCCATTTTGACCAAGTCTTCAAAATCATATCACAGATTTATAGTTTCACTTTGTAAAAAGGCAACAAAATTTTGTAACATAGCTGGGCACTGTGGTTTTTAGTAAATATTACTCAAACAGGAGTAAAAAGTAAATTCCCCAGGGACTATTTTAAACTGTGGATTAATACACGCTACTGAGTATTTGCAGCAGAAAAACACTGTATTTGGGATTTGTTTTAAAAATGCCCATGCCCATGTTCACTGTAATGAAAGAATATGTCACCCAGTGCAATGGGTATAAGTCATTAACATGTTTTTAATAGTTTTTGGATAACAATAGAGGTCTATGGCACAAAGGAATAAACGTAATAAGGCTTTCGTTACTTCTGCAGCACTGGTTAGTAGGATCTGTTCACTAAGGCGCTGATATTTCCTGACTCAAAAAGTATTGTCAATACTTCAGTTTTAGGTTTCATCCTATGTTAATGGTTGAGGCGTCCTCTTATTTATGTTTCTCTGTGTGTGACACAGCCGGAGAAAACAGCATCAATCAGAAGTATGCCAGACAGACCCAGGCCTCTGCGCTAGCCCAGCTCCAGCTGATGTCTACAATGTCATTCGCTCCCAGAAGGAGGATGACCTGGTGTCAGCTCGCCCACACACTAAAAACACCTCCTTTTTATGCTCCTCCCCTGACACACCGACAGGTGACTATGACAACCTGGGAGGTCGGGACACAGAGAGTGGCTTTGTGACACTTGCCAGTACAGAGAGCTGCTTCCTCAACTTTGAGCTCAATGACTTCAGCCTTGGACGCCGTGGCACGCGTGACTTCTACGACACCAGCCTGGGCCGCTCAGGAAAGAGGGACTTGAATGACAGCAGTCTGGGTCGCACTGGGCACAGAGAGTTTTATGACAGGAGTCTAGGTCGCCGAACAACTAAGAGTGAGCATTACGGCAGCAGTGTGTATGGGGACCAGGGATTGTATGATAGCAGTATCAGAGGGGGGAGTGACCTCTATGATTCCAAACAGAGGCCTGGAAGTCACACAGTAAAGGCTGACCTCTATCAGACATATATCACCAACGGCAAGGACGACACTTACCAAACCAGCCTCGGAACCTACGGAAACCGAAAATCCTACCAATCTAATCTGGATTCCTACAGAAATGGCCTGAATCTTGAGGGCGGAAGGAGATACTTCAATGAACAAGAGTGGATCAACAGAGAAAATTACTGATCCTCCAAACAGCTCTTGTGTTGTTTGTACGTGTGATTGTAGATGTGGATGAGAACGGCAAAAAAAAAAAAAAAAACTGTGCATGTTCATGGTTGTAATTGTTTCTACAGTACGTTTCTGAAACTTTTTAGGATGAAAATCAGGTGAGGAAATGATCAAATTATATTTTGTCACTGGGCCTACAATTCACCATGTGACAATAAGTTTTGGTAATATGAACCTGTATTATTGTATCATTTGTCATTAGAGTCAGTTCACCCAAATTACAAAAAACAACAAAAAAAAAAAAATATATATATTTTCTCATTTACCCCTGGTGCCGTCTTACCATGCTGACATTTTAGGATGGATTTCTCAGGTTTTGAGACGTCCACTTATGACATTTCTGCTTATACCCCCAACTTGGTTCGCAATGCTCACAGCACTTGAAAATTAGGCTTAAAGAATTAAACTGCAACGTATCTTTCTGTTAATGTCCTGGTTATTGTTGAAAATCCACAGACCTCACTGTGAATAGCTTTCATTAGCCCATAAAAACTGCTGACAGTAAGCTGTTTTTTTTTTTTTTCCCAAGTAATTCTTTTTGGGCCATGGGCACCAAAAATCTATTCACCTTTATTATATTCCGGTGGCAGTAGAAATCTCAAAGATGAATATCTCAAAACCACAACAAATAAAACCAAAACAATCTGCATATCAAGACACTGCACCGCTATGGGCATGAAACAAATGTTTTTTTGGTGGTTTGGGTGATCCAGCACTTTAAAAGAGTCTTGAGAATGAGATTAGATATTAAATGGGAACTCCACTGATTTTACACAAAGTCTGTTTATACGCCTTGGGGAGTACTATTGCATGTGAAGTAAGTATTGCATAAAACCTTTTGTGGCTCCATAGGGAGCTGAGTGAATGTTGATAAGTGACATCACGAGTCAATGTTGGGCTGAAGTCTGAAAATTAAAAAAAAAATCTGGATGTGTGGGGTTAGAAAAAAGTTAGTTTACCAGACCTCAGTAGCCCACTCCACTTCTCTGCATGAGGCCACATTAGCTGCTACACACACTGTCGATGGTTGAGTTGCATTGTGAGTAAAGTAAGCTCCAGGTAATTAGATTAGGATCAAAGATAATATCTAATATCTATAATGCTGCATCGATTTAGATTCTTTTTTTTATGAAAAAATGCTGTGACAATGTTATAGATGTGCTATACTAAATCGGTGGAGTACTCTTAACACAAGCCCTCTCTACATGACTGAACCTCAAGACCTCTGTATCTACAGGCCCCAGTCATGTCAGTTGATGTTGTGCTCCTTTCGTTTAAAATTACCACAAACAAATGCACACACAGGAAACCTGGGGGTCTTCGAAAGCAGTTCAGCCTTGGGGAGTAAAGAAGCCCAGAGCACCTTCAGTGCTCAGCTCAAGTGAAAACATGTACTACCAAACTCCCTCAGATCTGACTGAGTGATTGTAAGTGACTTTGGCAATACGTGTGTGTGTGTGTGTGTGTGTGTGTAGCAGCCTGTTTGCATGGCCTTGTCATGCTGCCCTTGCTTGGTAGGATAACTATGGAGGTCTTGGACCATTACGTTTGCTGTGCCTGAAAATACTATTTTAATCACACCATAGTTTACCTGATATAAACAGGCTACCTCGAACAGATTGAGACACAATAAACCAATAATGCTTGAGGGAGCATATACAACTAAAACACACACAACTATAGATTATTTTTATGTACAGTGTGTTGTCACATGGCCTTAAATTGTAAGATGTCTAGATCTTGAACTGAATTTCACTGATACACCTGTTCCCTCATTTATCAATGGTCTTGTGTCTCCTTTTGAGTAAAGACTAATAAAAACAATGCTAGTGAGAAGAAAGGTGGCTCATACAGTGAATTCAGCTTGAGTGCCTGCAGCCTGACTACAGCAACAGCATGATATCAAAGACAATGAGAAAATATAGCATTATTATTATTATTTATTCAGAATGTATAATGCCTTGACATCTCTCCTGTAAGTGAGAGTTTGTATGTTTGTTACATAAGGAAATCTTCAAATAAAAAGATTACAATTAAATCAATCAGCCTGTGATGCAGTGATTTTACCATCCCAGTAAAAAAAGGAGGATTGTATTCACAGTCAATTATGTTTTATTAACATTCCAACTTAAATTAATAACACACCCTCACCTTCATTCATCTCCACCACTCACACCTGACAGAGCACACAATAAGATACTGTTCAAGTGCAGACAAGCAAACACTACAAGATTTGTTAGATTAATTATTCAGAAAAATTCTGTCAGGCCACATTTTCAAGTGAAGTATGAAAAAAAACACATTATTTGTATGTAATGGCCTGTCCTGGGCTAAATACATGTAAAATCTTGTAGTGTGCCGCCAATATAATACATTCAGTTACACACACACACACGCACACACGCACACACGCACACACGCACACACGCACACACGCACACACGCACACACGCACACACACACACACACACACACAAAAGGAGATAAAATGTCCAGCTGATTCCTGTCAAGCTCACCTCCATACATACCATTTTCTCTGTACACACACACAAACACACACACACACACACACACACGCACGCACGCACGCACACAAGCCCAAAAACAGTTCTTAAAGGGTTCGCTATCTTCAAATATTTCAAGAGACAAATACTTCAAAACACATGCATGCACACATGTTCAACAATCACACACAAATACCAGCTGTACTGAGGGGAAGTGATTGATTTCTGTTATCAGGATGTTGTAGGATTTTAGGCCACGCTGAGGTTCAAAGGTCAGCCGTGGATACGCTTACGAGGCTGCTTTTGCCGCCGTGGTTTCAAGATGACGTAGCGCTTGTAGGTGGTGTGATGGTCTGATATAAATGGGATGTAGAATGCTCTGAAGAGAGGAGATGATCTGAGAGAGAAAAGGGTTTTATTAAAAAAGTGCATCACTCTTTTAGACCTTTGTAAGCAGGAAAGATAGATGGACTTGGTAATTGGTAATTTGCTTTATGCTGAAGTTCTCCCAGATGTGAACAGGATGCCGCCTATCTTTTTATATTTTCTTCCTCTGGGCCTTATCCTTACTTAAAGACACAATAGATTAAGTTTTTTTTTTTTGTTTTTTTTTTTAAGATTTGGAAGGCATGTTTTTTCTCTATTTCTGTGTAAATCTTGCATTTGGAAAATTACCTTGATGCTTGAAGGAAAGGCTTATAGGCGATGATGTTCCACTCTTCTTTGTTGGTTGAATAACGTGGCTCAAGAGGCGCCACTACATCTGTATCCAGGTCTACTAAGTAGTGGCACTGCCGTAAATCCACCTGTATGAAGAAGAAAATTCACAATTTAATGCAATGCTCTTAACTACAGTATCCACGTGCCAATAAACATGTAAATGTCTAAGTGACTTACATATCTGGTTGGCTCCTCTAGGTTCTGGTCATTCATATTAGCTGGGGTCATCTGCGTGGCCAGAGGACCAGAGGCGTAAGGCTGAGGCAGCTGCCCCTTAAACTCAGACTGAATGAAATGCAGTTGCCAGCTGGAGATTAGAAATAGTAATTATCAGGAAGGGACACAGTCCGAGTCACTCACTCTGATTTAAGTATACATTTGTATCTGGCGTGACAAATGTAATCTTGGCTTAGAGATGTATGAAAATCATTTATATGTCAATCCGTAATAGAAGAGAAGCACTGACACTTCAGGTTTTTGCACAGATACAATATCCTGCATACTGACTTGTGTGGTAGTAAGAAGCTGCTGGGGAAGCGGTACCACTCTTTGCCCACACACACACTGACAGGTCTGCCTTCGGGGACTGAGTGAAGAGTCGGATCCTTGGCGATGCGGTGAAACTCTGGGTACAGGTCCAGTGGGGCGTGGTAGCCTGTACCACAGAGAAAGAAAAAAAATCTCCTTTCATTCATCTTGAACTCTTGATTTTTGTTGCCTGAAACTGGTGCTTAGGAGAGCAGAGTTTGTGTGTACACGCACCCCTAAAGAGGGCGACAGAGCGTGACAGTGACAACACTGTGAAGACCACGACGGTACTTAGAGCCAACCAGTTAGAGGAGACCGTGTAGTGCTCCAGTCGGTATCGCTGGAACAGGAAGTGGTAGCATTTCTGCAAGAAATAAAATGAATCTGTAAAAACTCATTTTACATACACATCTATGACTAAAAGGTACCTAAAACAAATGAAGCCAACTGACACAGACTACTGTTTTGCTATCAGAGCCAAAATTGGAAAATGACAAACCACACCTGTAGAGATGAGAGGGCTACTGCACCGCTGAGGCAGATGAGAGGGTAAATGGGAAAGAGGAAACGTTCTTCTTTATGAGGTCTGGTGAAGAAAACCAGCATCCACAGATACATGGGAGACAGAGTCAGCCAGTATGGACGGCCCAGGTTCTGCACTACAGAAAACACACGTGCGCACAAGCACATGTAATCACAAGAGGAGCTGTTTTGAAAATTAAAAGTTAGATTAGATGAATTTCTGGTTTTTGCTACATAGACAGTATATGCCTATACTGACGAGGGCTAGGGTACAGGATAGCATCAATGGGGCTGGGTACATTTTTGAGTGTTGTAAAATTAACAGTTAACAGTCTGTAACAGCAAATAATAATTTGATTGCATCATATCAACACACAGTCCATGTCCTAGAAGAACTTAATAACTGTAAACAGGAATGAAGCAACACAAGGGCAAAGCACCTGAGTACATCATTACCACAGCACTTTACACAGCTGAGGTAAACACCCTTTCCATCCCCCCCAAAAAAATGGAAGTAATGACAACACTTGCTGCTGTATGAAACACCCCCAGTCCTCACCATTGAACTTATGTAGAAGTGTCTCCATGAGAGCGGTGAGTGGCAGAGAAAACAATGCCAGAGCAAACACCAGATTGAAGTTCAGGATCCCATTTACAAAGTAGAAATGCCATGGCTCTGTACCTGAAAATTAAACAACACAAAACATGTAAAATATTACAGCTCATGTACATATCACCATAATAGAAGCATCATGACTGTATAGTTAGTGCAAGATTTACTTAAAGGGAAAATCCACAAATGGGATTCTCAAAAACATGTTATATAAGATAAAACATTGACTACTGATGGCAAAAGACAAAAGCCAGAAGGTCCTATACATATACTTCTACTGTCTGTGAATGAATTACTCAGTGAAGTATTTCAGCCAACTTAATGGAGAGGAACAGAAACCTATTGGCACACTATTAAATGGTTTGACATGTTAGTGATGATGATGGTATGCCATCTAGAGTCCAAGAAAATGAGTGCAGCTTTAAATTGTTCGTTTTCAATTAAGCTTCATTTGCTCCGTTCTGTCATGAAAATAATGTACCATCAGCCTAACAGTCACTATATAATAGATGTAAATAACACCCCGAATAAGTAATAATCATTTCCAGCGTTGTACACCTTGACTGCCTTTAGAAAACTCAGGAATGTTAGTAAAATAAAATTAGTATCTCATGCTCCACACAGCACACATATAAAAACTATTACTGGCTGTCAGGCAGTGTCATTCAGTTGTAATCTATGCACCCTCTTTGTTCTGCAGTTGCTGTTACGAACAAGGTATACTAACTACTACAGAGAGGGGTCCCGAAATTTCTTTTTTTGTTAAAAATAAATAAAACATTATAAAAACTGAAAAGTGCTTCGACAAAATATAGTTCAAATTCTCTAAAATATATCAAGGGAGCAAGTGCACCCCTTACTGAATGGGCACCATGGGATTTTTATGGCTGATGTTTTGCCAACATGATATAAAATTATACATTAATGACGTGTGTGCTCTTGTATATTACCATAGAGATCAGGTCCATGTGGTGTGAAGACATTATACAATAGAATATTGAGTGGAGCAATAACCAGTTTGCCATAAAAGAAAGAGTCCACTGCTACCAGGGGTACCTGAGAGAGACACAGGTTAAACAGCGCAGACAGATGAAGAATCAAAATATATCTATATAGAATATATGTATTTACCATGAAAATGTCTCTTACGTTTTATAATTTTCTGTATAACACATAATGTAATATTCCATTATATTATATATTCCTATATTGATGATTAATTCTTCCACAAAAGTTGGTGCACACGTTGCAGATGTGTCACTGTAAAGAAACTCATCTGCATGTACCTCTTCCCTGTAGTATGCAAATTTAAATGCTTAGTTTTACATATATTGTTTTTTTTTTAAATACTCTCACCAGCAGCAGAAGCAGAGCAACAGCTGACCAGGTGATAAAACTTTTCCACTGCCTCTTCAAAATCAGCAGGTCGAAGGCAATCGGAACCCTACAGAGAACATAGACTTAAGCTGTAAAAAGGGCAATACATTTTGATAAGTCTGTCTGGGAAAAGTATTGCTAACAATTTTAGTTTACAACCCTACCCAATCAGAGCGGAGAATGGCCATCCTACAATGGCACCGGATGCAACACCCACAATGGCTAATGGTGTTGAGTCCTGAAACCACCCCGTCATGGCAACCAGTGTCGTATACATACAGAAAGAGGAAGGCAGGAAAGCTAAGGCGAGAGAACAACAGAGAGGGATGATAAACCATAAAAAATGCAAACTGAAAACAGGAAACCCTAACAGAAACTGTACTGTACTGTCTGCTACAGTACATATGGAACAATGCCTTGTTCTGCCAACTTTCATACTACAACTACTGGAGTGCCGTCAAGAAATAGTGAACCTGCATCCCAGAAATGTATCACAAGTATGAAATTCTCTTTGGAAAATTTACTGCACAATTTAACAGGAGGTTTTGCTTCACATTTGGCAATTTAGATGACAGGGCCAGACTGAGAAACATCAGTTTCTGATCTGTAAAGGTGGATGATAAACACCAAAGAGGGCTTGGATGGAGGTGCAAGGTAGACAATAAAGAGACAGAGACAGAACTGATTAACTAGGTGAATACATCTGACCAACCTGCAGACGAGCAGAACATTCCTGTGCTCAGGACAAGGAATGCCAACATCAGACGGCCCACATGCAAGCCAAACTTCTTACAAACTGCCCTGTGTCACACACACAAACAATACAAATGGTTAACCTCCACATCATATACTGTATATATTCAGTGCTTACGATGCCCACTTGCATTTTAGAGGAAGGTAAACTCACTTGTAGAAATAGAGTTCACAGACACAGCAGGAGAATGCTAAGACACATCGTACAAAGTAGAACACCAGAACCTGCAACACAATCATAACACAAGCCTGAAACTACTGCACATGTTCCAGTATAATGATATACAAACCTCTGTGCGTGTACATGTGTGAAGTGAATTCATGTATGGTTCTCAGTCGCCCCATGTAAAAACATTAAACTCATTAGTTTTTCTAAATTTTTACTGAAAAACCATGTATTTTTGTTAAAAGGAGGAGTTTTTCTTTAACTTGTTTCTCACAGATTTTATGTTAGACTTGAGACCTCTGACTTGACACTGTTGCCCTGCAGTTTAAGGTAAATATTGTCCTCTCTGAACAGAAGAGAAATGAAGAACACAGAAGTGTGGCTGATTACACTGTAGGTCAGCTGAAGTCATTTAAAATATCAACAATGACAACAAACTTTGAAATGACAGCATGTATGGTATAGTTACCTTGTTTGTCTGTAGAACATGGGCATGCAAACAAGCAGGAAGAGCGTGTAACCATAGGTAAGCATAAGATCTGATGGCGTACAATGGGGAATATTCCCATGTCTGCATCCCTGTGCCGTACAGCAGGTAGTGCATCTGTCAAAACAGTCATCACAACAAATACAGACATGAACAGTTGAAGAAAAAGAAGCAGTAAATTGCTTGAACAATGAAAAGATGAAAATTATAATCCATTGAAGGGTCACAAATGACAGCAAATTGCACTTTAGGATTACTGATATTAGTGAGTAGTACTCACAGGCTCCCAGTAGTTGAAGGTCTCATCGCAGTCTGAGATGTTGCTGAGCAAAGCTGCACAGAAACGCGCAGAGAGCAGGCATTTAAAGGCAGTAGAACCTTCTGGAGCCCAGACTTGCCCCCCACGACTTATTGACCTATTACAAAAATACACACGATGCACAATTGCTTGATAACCCCACAATAACATATGCATTATTATTAATATTAATTTCAGTGTCAAATGTATTAAAAACATTAGAAAACTGGGTTCTTACATTAACCTAAATGTATTTAAATACTTTAGTACATGATGTTTGCTTTGTGCGTATTTAATAGAAATTAGCCTAGATTTAAACAGTCTAATTAGCCATCTAAAGACAAGCCTATTGAACCTGTCTACTGGCCTTTACAATACACAGGTTTACCTGGCTGATATTTCCAGTGCACCTGCTTTTAATAAAGCACTAAGGAAGTCTGCAATTATGGTAATGATTTCAGAGCTGACAAGTTAATATGTCCCTCATTACAAAGAGTAAGTTTGTGCTGGAACACAATGTAAGTGTCAATTCACAACAGAAAAAAAGACAAGCCCTAATGACGTGGAGGTTTCAAAGACTGTCCCACAAAGAAAGCTCAATTGAACTATGTTGGGGCATTATCACTTACTCTATCAAAAGGCCTATGAAAACCGATTAAGCATTATACAGTTGCATAGTTGATTGTTGCCCCTATTTAGCTTGTGGACTGCCCTTTTTTTAAGTTATACCAAAATGTTTTAACTAAATGTTATTTCAATTTCATAGTTTCATTCTTTAGTGATTGTTCTTCTTGTTCAATCAGCCTTGCGCCAATCAATTAATCTGCAGAAAAAGCAAAAATCGCAGGAAATCATCTCATTTAAGTGGCTGGTATCAGAGACTATTTGGCACTGTTTTGCTATTTTTGCTTAATTGATAATCAGAATCACAGCAAATTAATTTTCTGATCAACTAATCAATAAATCAGCTCATTGTTTCAAATCTTATTATTCCAGATATGTAGACAGACATCTAGACATAGAGTGTGTTGTCTATACATGCCAGACTGGAGTGCCCAAGGACTAAGCCAGTTCTGATTAGACCTCTTTTTCTATGTATGATTTGCCTTAAAATTATGACATGTGTGCATTTTACATAAGTTTATATATTTTGATCATGAATTTTTATACTTTGTATTTGTTTTTTCTAATTATTAGTTTTCCCACTAGTGCTTGCAGTATAACCATAAGAGCAAACCACATTGTATTTTACTACAAAATTATGTGACAAAAATTCCTCTGAATGCTTGAATCCTGAATCAATAGCCACACCATCTACAGCACTGTGTTTATATGAGCGGATAGCTGAGGGTGTAGTTTGTTCAGATGTGAACAGCTGTGCGCTTGTTCAGAATACTGTTAGTGAATACAGTTCTAGAGCCATTTCATGCATATTTATATCTATGGTGGTAACCTACACTCCTCTCTGTGTCTGGTGACATTTCCTCTTGTTCACTCATCAGATTAGTTAGATCAGTTGGCTCAGCTGCAGCTCAGCATTGATCCTCACGTTTAAATTTATTATGACACGTCACCTTACAAACTGTCAACATTTCTCATTTCAGCAACACATCAACTCCACCAATCACTGGTTTGAACTAAACCTCTGTACCCATACTGAGAAGGAGTGGATCCGCTGGTGGCAGCTAAACTGTCGTCAGCTGTCATAAATCTGGCAGTGGACAGGTGGGAGAATGAATGAAGCTGACCAGGTAACTCAGCTACGTTACGTTGCATTATTAAAACATAAACGATGCAATTAGTTATTATTAGGGCAAAAACACAACCGAACAGCCATTTTAGGTGAAATGAATCTAAACACAGAGCCAGTAGGATGTTCGGTGGACGTTATCGATCATTGTTATCGTGTTGTTAGAATCAAAACTTGCGTATCAAAGTAGCTAGCTAGCTAGCTAGCTCCCCCTGCTCAGACTGTCAGTCAGACGGGGGATGGAGCTTGTAGCACCGGCGAGTCTAACGTCTCTCCTCCTGGCTCATACTCACTCTTGCCGAGTCTCTGTGATTTTACTGTCGTCGCCACCCTTCTCCTCTTTCGGTGTCCGAGCTTCGGCGGATATGTTCACGTTGTTTGCATCTTGTCTGCTGCCTCGCCTGGTTCGTTGCCGAAGCGCCTTGGCCGCCATGTTTATCGATGCTGCTGCTCCCGAGTCAGACGTCGTTCATTTCCGTCGCTGCCCGGTTACTGACAGCTCTTATCAAACTGCATGAAGACTATTTTCTTAGTTCATTAAATAAAAAACAGCAGTTGATTAACATTTGGAGAAAGGCTTGTTTCATTGTCTTTTTTTCTGCAGGTGTTGTGTTTACAATCATTTGTTTGCACTCAAATCAACAAAAACGTTTGAAGACATACACATGAGAAAAATTGAGATGCTTTGATTTTTTAAATAAATCCTCTTAAGAGAACAAGGGATTGTAACCCCACAAATTACCTGTTGCACAGTTCATGAATAATTTGAATAAATCAAAAATATTTAATATTTAATCTTAGATTATTAGACAGATTACTTGCTCCTAAGCACAAGGGTCACTTAAGTTTGGAAATAAGTAATTTGGTAATAATTACAGGTAAAATAAAGTGTTCAATTGGTACATTTCCAGTTAATTAACTCCAATGGAGTGCTAACTTAAGATAGGAGACTGGTTTACTCAGTGCGCAGCAGGTCAGCTGAACATGCAAAAGTGTGAAATTTATCTCCAGACAAGCATTATCCATTAATATATTGTATACTTGGAATGGATTTAAATGGACAAGTTTTTTCAAGAAAATTCCTCGGGATATCAACAACTGCTTGTAAACTCCACACAACTGAGTCCTATCAGTCTCATGACTTACTCTATTTTTTCCCCCTATAATTGGTACCAATTTACAGTTCTTTCAAGGAAACTTTCTAGGCAATTATGGACTTGTAATTACCTAAAAGTCTCAAGCATATAACATGAGAAGAACAAACTGGCGTTGCTTGTTACAGATACTATTACAACCCAGATTACAGATTTCATAGCTGTTTTATTGCAGAATACTTGCTTTTATGCTTTTTCACATCATGTATTAAATATGACTATAACTGTTTACAATGATTCTTGACAGACCACAAGTTAAAGTTAAATAACTTGTTTATTATAGGATAATTAAAACACACAGAAACACAGAATTCCAATCACAGTTTTCAGACTTACTATAAACAATGCCTCAGCTATTGTAAAGACGGTTCAACAAGAATTTTGCAGATTATATGCTTATAATTTGCTTAGCAGTCAGAGACAGACTTGGACCAGTAATTATAATGTCTCTGAAATAATAAGAGGTTAAATATCTGTTCCTCTGAGAGATTGACCTATAGCTACCTGATGGTGACCAGTAACCGAGAGAAAAGTAAAGACTCCAAGTGTTTGTGAAACTGGAGGGCTTGTGTGTGTGACAGAGCATTTGTGTGTGAGTGGTATATGAGTCTGTAGCAGTAACTGGTCTGACTCAGGTCAGGATGTGAGAATGTGTCAATGAGTTTAACTTGCTCCACGGTCCCATGACTGGCCTCTCGGACCACAGCGTGGAACTTCCTCGCCTCCCATGTCGGCCCCGTCCAGAAGCTGATGTCAAAGCTGAAGTGCTCGGGAAACAGGGAAAATGGATTGAAAGAAGTCCCAGGTGATGGGCGGAGTTCAAACTCTTTTAAGAAGCGTGGGTCATGTGACCACAGCAGCCGCCAGTCGGGGAGGGAGAACAGGAGCACGGCAAGAAGGTCCAAATTTAGGGACACAGTGACACTGACGTAGCTAATGTTGTCACTTGCAATGCTTGAAAACACCTTACCAATCAAACCCATTGGCTGTGCCATCAGACGCAGACCTTCCTGTTCTGTAATCAGGGAGACCCCATATGGTGTGAGCAGTGTTTCCAGCCTTTGTCCAAGCAATCTGATTGGCTCACATTCTGAAGGGAAAACCCCTCTGAGGAGAAGCTCGTGAAAGACAGGCAGGGACCAAAGGTTGACTGGGACACTCTTGAACACCAGGCCACTAATGCCAAATAACAAGCTGGTCACACCATTACAGCCCCCACAGGATTCCTCCTTCTTATTTCCTTCAACACTTTCATTATTTGCCTCTGTCTCCCTATGACTCCCTGCATTGTTAATCAACTCTTCTTTTTTAGTTATAAAATCTACTATCTGAGGGAGCAGTGATGGACGCAGCAAATAAAGACCACTTTCCCCTTCAGGATCAACATCAAGAGAGCAAGCAGACCTTATGCTCTCTGCTCCTTTGTTCCTCACCCTGTCAACTTTATCTGAGGTAACACATGTGGCTGACAGAGTGTCTCGTGTGTCTGTGTGTCCCCGACTGTCCGAAAACATGAACTGATCTTTTTTCTTGTCCACAGAGGTATGAATGTCAGAGCTGAGGTCTTTCTGAAGCAGGTGGATCCAGTAGCATTGTGTAATGTCTACATCACGGCAGCACATCTGCAGCTGTTTGGCTGTGAGGAGGAAGGGGATGTCCTCTGTCGTCATGGAGACCGGCCACTTTTCCGCCAGTCCTTCGAGAAGAAAATCTTGCACCAATCTGACAGGGTGGACAGACGATGAGCAGAGAAATCCCCTGATGAAAGAGAGGAGACAATAAGCATGTGGTTATATAACTTTCTTTGCGTTGGTGGCTTAGTACTCAAACAGCATGAGAGCCTCTGTGTTACTGTACCTGAATATATAATCACTGAGCTCAGCTGGCATATTGTACTGGACTTTCTCCCCTTCAACAGCCTCCTCCACCTTAAGCATCTGAGCAGAGGTGTAGGGAAGGCTGTGAGTAAACACATGGAGCAAAGCTTTCTCCACATGAAAGCCCTTATCCTGGCTCCTGCACAACAGCAATATCATCATTAGACTCAGTATGCAAACGCACATCAAACAGACACAAAGCGTCGTTCCTATTTGTACACTGCAACACTCACCTTTACTCCTTACCTGTATCCAGTGCACTTGTAGCTCTGGTATTTCTCACTTCCAAAAGGATGAATGTCACTAAGGATTAGGTGTGCTTCCGCTGCCATGGCAGCCACCTGCCAGCTGTTGTGCCACTCTCGCCTCGGCTGGTCTGCTGGTGTCCCGCCCTGGCCGTTGCACAATGAAACATGAACCTCCCCGTCTTTGGCCAACACTTGAACACAACTGGAGGAACACAAAAAGCAGTATAGCTCATTGATAGATGTGTATATATATGAAATATGAATATGTTTTTTTTTTTTTGTTTTTTTTATTTTCCATTTAACGAAACAAGTAAAAGTTCACAAAGGCTAAATACTGTCTAAACACAAGCAGCCATATATGAAATGTGCTGAAATAAAAAGTCTACAAGTCAGACTAATTTTGGTTTAAATTGGGAGCTATCTGGTCAAATAAGTACAGAATCTGAGACAGCATTTAAGGTACTCAATAGTTGTCAAATTTTGTGCAATGGACATATTGGGAAAAGAAATAAAACTTATAAACCTAATTAGTGTCATAAATTGCAGTTTATGGGGTAAACATTTATATAAAGTGCGATAAAACTGCTTTTTTAAATTAATGGTTTGAAAAATCATGTATGGACATATATGAAGCATGGTATAATTTCATGACAAAAATAAATAAATCAGGGTCCGAATTGACTAAATTCCATCTGTTAGTAAAATGACCTTGAGTTAATGTTTTTTTTTTTAGGAAAAACATTCACAATCACAAATGAAATGGATGATTTTATTTGCACTGGCTGATATGTGTGCAGATATGGATGATGGCTGTTTGAGAGAAATCTGACAGTAGAAAATTCTGCGAAACGATTGAATCCTACGGTGTGATGCATTTATACCTGAGAAAGAAGTTTTTGAGAAGTTCTCTATTCTTTTTAACCCCACTCTTTCTTCCGCAGTGAGGAAAATTGAACACCACACGGTCAAACAAACGGCCCTGTAGAGAGGTACATTCTCCCAGCTGTGTGCAGTCCACCCCGAAAAGCACAGTTCCACCTGAATAACAAATATGATAAATAATTAAATAGAAAACAAGTCTAGCCCCGGAAAAAAAGCAACTGAGAACAAATATGAAAGTACCCACAAACATGTACCTGAGTCCTTGATGATCTCAATGTTACTGGCTGCACCTTCATGCCGCAGTGCCTCGTCCTGATGCTGCAGACAAGTGGCCGTTATGTTGGTCTCTGTTTCAGCGTATGTCTGGCTCATGGACGCAGAAAATGAGAAGTTCCCTTCACCCACCAACAATATGGACCGTGAAGGAGACATGTCCAGTCCACTTAGAAATGTGGCCACACAGAAAAACTCAAATCCCTAAAAGGCTGACCCCTCAAAAAAAATCTACTCCCGCTTTTGAAACGAAAGGAAGAAAGAGGCACGTAGGCGCAACAGTGACAGTGACAACCTTCAGTCCTCTTCACGCTTTTATACGATCCTAGTAAATGCACTTTTGGCAAGAAACGTCCGTATCTTGTGTCTAAGATTGCTTTCAGCTAAATAACACAAATTATATTGAGTGTTGTAAAACAAAGCCGTTGACCTTCTCCTGCTCTGTTCGCTGATGCAGCACATGAAAGCTGAATAATATTATCTCACCTGTAGCTGCTTGCGTTGGACGCTGTGTCGCACATACAGTAGTCCGACCTGAAACAAAACTTGCGGAACACTGCGCTACTCACCCGAGATGTCAAAGCCTCATCAAAAAAGAAAAATATATACTGTTAAGTAAGTAAGGCAAATGAAAATGTATAAATTATATATTCATAATAATTCAATTGAGTTGCCAATTGTCGGCATGTAAATAGAAGAGCGTCATTTTTCAGACCACAGAATTCGACTCATGTTTTCAGAGGAGCACATTTGCAGGGTGGCCCATCACATCTGGAGCAGGGAGCTATTTACAGCATCAGTTTATCACAGCATCAGTTGCCTTCGCATACTTGTCGTTTATTAAAGAAGAAAACCCAGCTGACAGTCTTTCTCATGTGCACTTCTCAGTTCCGCACGGGATTTTAAGGTGTCTTGATCACATCGGACGTAGGTAGTACAACAACTAGCGCACATACAGGCATCTGTTTTTGCTGATGCTAAGGTCATGCTAGCTAACGGAATTGCTGCACCTGCACAGGAAAACAACAGACAACCTGGCGTGATGCACATAGTTGTAATCATCCCTTTATTTCAAGTTTCAAATCCAATGTAAACCAAGTTAATGACATAGCAAAAGACATTCAAAAATATAAGTTTGCATTTTTAATTTTGTTTGCATCTTTGATTTCACTTGTGAATAGCTGTCAGTAAGTGCAGGTTTTTGTGCAACAGACTTTTTATATTCTGTAATATTATATTTAATTTATATTATTAGAGTCTGGCTTTAAAAGTGCACGTTCCGCAGGAAATTAGACAAATAAGTGGGTGACAGCATCATCATAAATCGCTCCTTTGTCTCATTGGGCCTTGTAGGAAGTGTTGTGCCCACATGGGCAGTGTCCTAGCTTTGTCTTCTGGTCCAGGCCATCAGAACTGGCCTTTCTCCACGGACCCCTCTCCTTCTCGCTGGGACAACCATCCTGCTCACTGGGACAGTCCGCCACGCTGGGAGAGGAGAGATGGCCGCTTACCCAACCCAGGCAGCTTTCACTCCCTCCACAGGAGCTGCAAAGGTATGTGCTGTATGTCTGTCTAAAAAGCAACAGCTGTGGAGTGCACACCATGGAGCAGGCACTAGATTGAAAAACGTAGTCACGCAATTGAATGCTGGATGCAAAAAGTCATCAGAACATTGAATACGTTTACACCTCAAAGTTTAAATGCAGTTTGCTCTCCAAAAATAATGTGTAAAAGATGTATCTGTCCTACTGTAGCTGTGTTTCTGTGACCCGGTGATAATGTTTCAGTAGCAATAAATTAGTTAAATGTAACTCCTTAAATCTGAAAAATGAAACTATTCATTTTCACTATCAGAAGAGGAGAATAATCAGATGATTACATGCCTGTAAATGCACCAAATGTGATATTTATGGTTTTGATATGACTGTTCTGCCTATCTCCCCAGATGTTTTTCCTCAACAGATTGAGGGTGTTAAGATGATCATCAATAAAACTCTGAGCAGCTTCTTCAAGGTGACTCTTTCACCCACATTGATTTACATTCAATCAGTGTGTTGCATGTAAAGACAATAAGGATGTAAATCTCTTGCATCTTAAAATGTTATAATGCCTGATGTTTAACGTGATTGCTTCCAGGTCAGTCATACTCTGCATCTCAGTGCTGTTTGTCCTTCATACTACCGATTCCACGTGGAGCATCTGCAGTCTGACGATTACAGCAAAGACAAGGTCAAGCACGAGTCATCAGATGATAAACATGTTACCACTGCTTTATCATTAATGTTTTTAGCGCTTTCAGTGGAAAACAGCCAGAGATATCGGCTTTTTGAGTTGATAGGTTGCATATTTATCCTTCCTCACATTTTAGGATGCCCCAGCATTGATCGGTGAAATGGACTCTTCTGGTAGTCTGAACGCTCACGCTCTGTTGCATCTCTCTGAGCGTGTACGAGCCAGAACAGTGTTCCAGGTGAGGTCCTAATGTCCTTCTCTGTCCGTAGAGCCATCTATCCCATACCACATTCAGTCACTGTTTCTATAAAAGTCAGTTATTTTACACAAAATCAATTCTCTTTGCTGCAAACAACTCAACATTCAAATTCTTGATTCTGTGTTTTAGACTCAGCAGTCCCAGTTTGTAACATGGCAGTTTGAGACTGAGTACAGAGGGAACGACTTCACCGCTGCTGTGACAGTAGCCAACCCAGATGTCCTCAGAGAGTCAGGTGAGAAATGACAGGTGGAACGATTAGAACCTCACCTGAGCATCAAATTAAGTGTCAAATTATTTTACACCTGCATTTGTAAAAAGACACAAGCATGAATATCAGTCTTGATTTATATTGTTAAAGAAATAATGTAGTTTCCTCAATATGATATATTGCTATTAGCTTTTTAAAACCATGTCTTTTGTATCTGCCCTTAAATTGAAGTATTGTACCACCTTGCCTTATCTAATCTACTTGTATTGTATGTATCTGTGTGTGTTTCTATGGGGCAGTTATCCTTGTGGCACACTTCCTGCAGAGTGTGTCTTCTGGACTGGTTTTAGGAGGGGAGCTCGTCTACCATCGAGGAAGAGCAGAGGAAGGAGGAATTCTTACTTTGGCTGGACAGTACTCACGTGAGATTTCGTTGTTATTTGTGAATCAACTTTAAACATCAGATTTAATTTAGATGGCATGTTTTTTTTTGTTTTTTTTAAATCTGTTTTGGTTGATCCAGCAGCAGCAGCATTTCACTTTCTCTTCATGCAGGACCAAACTGGGTGGCAACGCTGAATGCCGGGAAAGGAGGCGCCCATGCTAGCTACTATCACAGAGCCAACAAACAGGTACAGCAAATACCACCGTACTGTATATACATAACATATACTTTAGCGCATATTGCAAAAATGCATGCGCATGTGTGCGTGTTCACCAGATCCAAGTTGGAGTGGAGTTTGAAGCCAGTACCAGGACGCAGGAGACCACAACCTCATTCGGGTATCAGATGGAGCTCCCAGAGGCCAACATGGTCTTTCGAGGTAAATTTCTTTCAAATGTCATGCTTGATGAAAACTACTCAGAAAACATACAGAAACCTTTTTCTGTGTGTCCAGGTATGATAAACAGTCGGTGTATAATAGGAGGTGTGTTGGAGAAGCGCCTGACCCCACTCCCCGCTACCCTGATTATGGGCGCCTTTGTAAATCACAGAGGTGACAAGCTGCAAGTGGGACTAGGTGTCCATGTGGGATAATCTTCCACTAACCCCTGCTGCCATTACAACTCACTGTCAGGACCACCGTCCAGAGACCTGTTTCAGAGGCTTCATAATGACCTGCTCTTCCAAGGTTTGTCAGCCTCAGTAAAACTCTTGGAACCATCTCAGTAAAGGGGAATTTTTTTTGGGTGTTGAAGCCCAAAATGTTTCTTTAAATCGATGCATCTTATCTTGCAACCTACCTCTCAAAATGGAGGTGATGTTTTCTGATTGGGTGACAATAGGATTACACAGGAAGATTGGATTAACATTTTGAGGGGATCAACATATGTGACTTGATATAAATTCCTGTCTCCCTGAAACCAGACTGCAAGTCACCTTCAGGATAAAGGACACAGAAAGGATTAGTGGCACACTGTACTGTAAACTGCAAATAAATTAAAGTTTTATACTGTAGGTAGACACAAAGAAACTTTATGGATATAGATTGCATTAAAAGATAGTAGTTTTTTATTTCATTTTTAGCCCATTAACTAGAATTTATGTATACCTGACCTGTCTGCCGACTATATCAACAAGTTCACTGTTGTTTGTAAAACTAATACATGATTTGTCCCATCTTCCACACAGCCATTGGTTTACATTTGTGCCAGTATCATTTGAAAATCAACTTGTACAAACAGCATAGCTTGAATACGTTGCTGCCCGCAGCATTACCACATGATACTGACAAAGAAAAAAATTAAGCTGATTAAATGTTCACTGATTAATTATCTCAAGCCAGTTCCTATGAGATGATTTTCACCGACTAATGCTGAGAGGATAACTCTAGAAACAAAGTGGTCAGCAGTAATGTCAGCTCTGTGTGAGTTTTAGTAAATGGTTGAAAAACATGCTAAAACACTAGTATGATCACTAAAATTGTGTGTGTATGTGTGTGTGTTTGATTGTGTGTTTGATTGTCATCTTTTTTTGCCAGCATATTAAAAGTGTGTGAGAGTACCACACGCAAACAAATCCCCAGTTCACTCGTAAGACAAAAGGTGCTCCACCATATATACTAACCCCAGCTGAGGGATGTGTGAGTGGCTATGCACTAACTCTGCTGAGCCATTACTGTACTGTATGTATATAGATGAAGGCATGTGGAAACACTGACTTGTATGCAACTTGCACTACCCACGCTGCTTCTGGGCATTTGTCCTGTTAAACATAAGAAATGTTGCATATGTATTATTTCTACATTATGTCATATAAGCCTGGAGAGAAGTGGAAGGGAATGACTGTCTTTTTGGACTTAATTTAATAAAGATGTTATTTGTATTATAGTTAAGCTGTTTTGTCTTCACCAAGTGTATTAATATTTGTAGCAACATATTGCAGTTCTGCAGATATGCAGTGTACTGTGCATTCATTGTGTTTTAAAGCTCCACTATCAATTCTTTTAGTATTAACTATGGATTTAATGGCTAATATGAAAGGGGTCACTCCTAATGACAAACCAACAGAAAACTGCCACATAACTCTTAACTCACCCTCAGCACCAAGCTGCTTTTAGCCTCCTTTAATTCATTCTTTTGGTGGTACTGTATATTGTTTAGAAACTAGTGAACTAAAGAGACAGATATTTTTTAAGGAATAGTTAGAAACCAAAATAAAGCAAAAAGGACAGTGAATATTGGACATCTTTCAGGGCAGTAAATGAATGTGTTGCTCCATGTATATCAGATGTTCAAATAGCTGCTAATGTGTTAACCATAACAACTTAGGCCATAACATGAGTTTTGTGTTCAATTAATCTTTGTGTGCCTCAAGGTGTATTTAGACAGAAAGCGAAGCAAAACCGACCATTCCAGTTCTCACATTTTTTGCCATGAAAAAAAAAAGTGTACCGACTGTGAGGATGTTAGCTGAAGGCTAGCTAGCGATGCACATGACCATTTCTGTGGGAGAGCCCCTGGGCACTTTCTGTTATTGCTGTCCTGTCTCTGTCCCTTTTCACGAGGCCCCAGAATTTGGGCAAATTTGCACAAACGTGAAGCATTTTCAAGTGTTAGTTCGCACTGCTCTTGCAAACTTGTATCTTTGAATTAACTTTGTATACAGTTGCCTATAATACTCATTTCGCTGTCTGAACACACAGTCAGAATGACCAAAAAAACATTTAGGAAATACAGCTTTAAGATACTGCAAACCACTCAGCAGAGACTCATCAGTGGCTTTAACTTTTTAATATTGTATAAATTCCTAAAAACTGAAATTACTGATATATAGTTACTGTACATCCATATATTTTATATACAAATATATTTAAATATATTCAAATATGAGGTCTGTAAACATTTGACTTGGTGATTCTAATAACAGTACATTATCTGGCACCATAGCTCACAGTGGCAAATATAAAGGCAGACACTCAGTCTGTTTAAACTGCTGCCAATTCTCTGTTATTTGTCTCTGAAAAAAGAGAAAAATCCTTTCCCTCCTTCTCCCTTCACTCTCAAAGACTTGCTTCTTTGGAGTCCCACTGAGTTGTCTTTCTCTCGCTGTTTTTCCTTCTTTCTCTCCTCTTCCCTTTGCTGCACCTGCTGATTGATCACCATCCGCATATCCTCCTGCGACGAGATGAAACGTTCAGATAACCTTTACACTGTGCTATTTTAAATGTGTTGCCAAAAGGCATCATTTTGAACTTTATACCCTTGTTCTCAGACCCACCTGCCAGGCATCCAGCTCTTGAGACAGCGCCACCTTGTGTTTGATCGTGTTGAGAAGCTGCTGAGTTAGTGTTTCTTTCTCCTGGCGCACCGTAACCAACTCACTCTCTAAGGAACTGGACATTGATATGAAGATTAACAAAACATCACTAGTTTCATCAAATCAACAAAGGTGTTTAGCTTTACCTGTAGCTTGGCTTTTCAGGACTGCCTCTAAATGGCTTGATTTCTTCCCTCAAAGTCTCCAGCTCTCCTCGCTGAGATTGTAGCTGCAAAATGTGAAAAAGAAGACAATATATTTATACTCAGCTCCTGAGATCCCCTTGATCCCTACTGAAAAATATATCAGACACAGAGCATCTTTCAAAGCTGAGTATTTTTATATCTTAAAACATATACTGTAACATATAACAATATGATATAATAATAATATAATATAAGTCACATCTACTTCTCTTTTATTGAAAAATCCAGAATCTATGAACATACAAATATCTTTTTGAGTACTGGACACAAGATGTCACCCACTTCACTGAAGTCTATTATCAGTATATGTAATATGGAAGTTTCAAGTTCCTCACCATCACATTTTTGTAAGATGGTGATACTGGACTGTGATTGGCCCTAAACTAGATGTTATGTCACAAAATCATATTCCCATATTCATGTCCGATTTTAGGTGAGTGCAGAGAAACTTTTCTTCTCCAGCAGATGGATTTGTAAAGGCTTCCATGTATCAAGCTCTGCACATAAATAATGTTGCACAGTTAATGGTTAACCATCCAAATAAGGTATCAGGAAAAGGAAGGCTTTACCTGTATTAAAATGCAAGTGGTAAAACTACAATATGCCTAATTTCATAAATCTTTGTAATGAATTTAAACAGCTAATCAGCTAATTGCGCTAGTTTGCTTATATATGCTAGACAAATCAGAGAATACATTTATTTCTGTAACAGCAAGGATTTTCACCCATTTCAGATATTCTAAACCCACTGAAATGGAAACCAGCATCAACTCACTCTGTTTCCCCTACTCAAGGTCAATCCCCATGTTAAATTGTGTTTGTGTACGCATGGTTATATGTTGTGCAGTTCCACAGACCTCCTCTTTGAGTGCTTGTATCTCTTCATCTCTTGCTTCCAGGACTGTGGAGTGAGCCAGAAGAGCCTCTTTAGCCTGGTTAGCAGGAGACAACACAACAGTTTAGAAAGATCAGTAATTTCAAAACACTCATGAGAAGGTGTTTGTGCTTTTGATGCAAATTTGACAACGAAGGTTGGGAATTTTTTTTTTTTTTTGGGGGGGGGGGGGGGGGGGGGGGGGCAGTTAGTATCAAACTAAGGAAGCATGTGAGAACAGGGTCAGAAGGAGTGCACACCAGGAAAAGTTAGACTGTGAAGTTACTGTGAACCTGTCAGTGCAGTTGCCAGTGTTTTGTATGAGTCTCTGTGTGTACCTGTGATTGCTGAATTTCACTAAGCAGAGACAAAGGTTGTGTGTGAGCACTGTCCAGGATGCTCTCTTCTCCCAGGCTCAGAGATTTTTGCTGTAGAGAGCGATTCAAGGTACGCAACTCAAACACCACTCCCTGCTCCTGCTCTATCTACACATATGCACACACAAACACACATGCAGTGAGATACAGGCACAAGCACGCACACAAATCAAGAGCTTCAAACTAGTCGCGTTAGTGACTTCTGTTAGTGTTAGTAATATCTCCTGTAGCTCATGATCCTCTTCCTGTTTACCTCCGGCTTCTTCTCTCAGTGTTCATCAGCCACTCATTGATCCTCACCTCTGCTTCTTTCTCTCTCAATTTCATCTGGAGTTCCGACAGTCTCTCTCTTAGTCCCTCTCTCTCCATGCGGAGTCCATCACTGTCCTCCTGTGAAGCTTTTAGTTGTGCCTCCATGTGCGACAGCCGCTCCAGCAAAACTCTGTTCTGTAAAGGGCGGAGGGAAAGATGGATGAACACAAAATACTTGTAAATAAATGGTGCAAGTGAAAGTGGTGGAAGAAAGTGGTAACTGAAGTTATTGCCTTGTTTAGATCATTAAGCAAGCAACTCTAGCTGCTGGATTATGCCTCTGATGAACATTCAAATAAATGCCATTCATTTCAGCTAGAGTGCAATTCATCTAGGACCAGGTTTGATACTTATGCGTCTGAGTTTGTTAAATCTCAATGGATTTATTTTATATTCTGCTTATATTTGCATCTTAGCAGGCAGAGCTGTACACTCGAGACTTGAACTTGAGTCAGAATCAAACCACCCAAACAGGAGTTGAGATTTGATTTCAACTTGATTTACATTAGACGTCACTCCCTAATGACTTGACCTACAATGAGACTTCAAAGCAAATACTTTTATGTCTCAATGTTTAAACAGCTACAGGAAGGCCTTGGCTTGCACACCATGAATATTTAAACATTATTCTTTGATAGGACTTGGTTTCATCTGTATAAAAACACAAACATAAACATAAAATTGGCTCCCTACTTTCACGTTGTATTATTATTTCATACTTTGGCCATGTTTGATATTTAATGCTTTTTGTGTATGACCTACTATCCAGCATTCAAGATGGTATGATGTCTTCCTAACTGTCATGTCAAAACTGTGGCATTGATTTACTCGTGCAAAACATTAAGAAGTGGTAAGTATACCTCTGCTTGAATATTCTTTATCTGTGTGAAGCTGATATTTCGGCTAAAAGATGATTCTTCCATCTCTTCTCTGAGGGAACGAATCTCAGTCCTCAAGGAGTGTTCCAGTGTTACAGCCTAGATGGGAGGGAGGTGGAACAGTTGAGAAAGGCTCAGTTAGTGACAAAGAAGGACTCCCAAAACCTGCTAGTCTGCATTGTTCCTGTCTATGACATGACATCACAAACAAGCGCAGACAATTCCCTCACACAAACACGCACACATCCTGCCTACACCTAGATTCTGTTCATTCTAACAGCGTTACAACATAGTCATGACCTTTTCTTTGGTGGGTTAGTGTCTTAAGACTAACCTCTGCTAGCTGCTCCACCAATCGTTGGTTATGATTGGTTAACTGAGTCAGCTGTTCGCCCTCATCCTTTCTCTGGGCTCTCTCCTGGCTGTGATGTTGCTCCAGCTTGGCCCTCAAAGCAGCTAAATCCGTAGTCAGCTCTGCTTCTTTCTGACCAGATGCCAGTTCATTCATGTCCAGCCTCCTCTGAAGAACATGTTTCTCCTGCTGTAAAGCCTGAAATGTTAAAAACAACGTTAACTGGCTGCGAGGCGCCACGACGAGATCAGATACTGAAATACATGGATTTTCTGTTCTTGTGGCTTTGAATGTGAAGTGAAATTTACATCTTGTGATGGTTTCTGTAGGCAGCTAATTCATAGCAGACATTATGACATGTCATAGTAGGAAAGTGACAGGTATTACAAATAACACTAACAAGAACACTGTTCTGTTCTATTCAAGTGTCCCACTAAGCTATGACAGTGTGACAATGAGGCAGCCCAATACCAGGACTTCACTCATATTATTATTTACAGCTGTGTTTTTCCTACTTTCACATGTCATAATGTCTTTCATAAAAATACTTGTTCTTATTTACTTTATATCCGGGAAAGATTTATACCTCCATTGTAATGAATACATTTAAATAACATAAAGGAAAAATACTTACAGAAAACTAGCAGTGTAATAATAAAAATAGCGCAATAAAAATATTACAATTGTAACTATCTGTTTTACCACTTATAATGATAAGAATCTAAATACATTTACCCAGCCGTAAACCTCTTTCTGTACTTTTCTCATCCCTACCTACATTCCTCCGTCTAATAGTTTTATCTATGTGATTTGCAGAGACAAATATGTGGGCGAGTAAGTAAAAACTTGATATTAGTAGTAAATTACATGTTGAATATATTTCTTGTATGGTTTTTTTAAAAATAGTTTTACATAATTCTATGTTTTTATTATCTTTACTGGTTGATTAGATGGAATTTGTTTAAGATGGAATAAACTGAATCTTCATAGTTACAGATACAGACTTAGTCTTTCCAAATTTAGAATGATGGCACTGCAGGCCAGAATCAGAGAAATTCTAATTGATTGTTCGTGGCAAACAGTTTTCAGTGCTCCTATTGTTCACATCTGACTATTGTTTTTAGTAATGTCAAAAAGTTTGCAGAGTTGAGGAAAAAAAAAAACACACTATTTGCAGCAGCAGCAGCATTCTTACCTCAATCTCCCTCTCTCTCATCTTCAGAGAGGCTGCCAGCTCCTCACTCTTCTCCAGTAAAGCCTGTCCCAGCTCTGCAGCCAGTATCAAATCTGTCTCTATCCCTCCTCCGCTGTCATTGCTACCAGGACATGGTGCAGTTGATGGGAGAGCAAAGGAGAGAGACACTGAGGAAGATGAGGACAGTGGGAAGAAGGAGTCCTCCAGGCTGGGGGAAGGAAGGCTGTTTTTCCTGGGTGTGAACATTGTTTTTGCAGGTTTATAGGAGTCAGCTGGAAAACATAATTCCAGGTGTTGTAATCCACACTCACACAGGTGACAGATGGACAGCTTTCTGTCCTTTTCTGTTCCTTGATGGTCTGGTCTGGAGTGGTTGAATGAGTCAATTCTGTAATCCAATATGTCCCTGCCAAACTTGTTCTTCACTGTGGTGCTAATGGTCCTGATGCTGGTATCATTCAAACCCTGTCTTCTCTTTTTCACAGATAATTCTGTGGGGAAGAAATAGACCTTCAGTGACACAGAAAACCACCACAAACAGATTTAATAACCGTACCTTTGGAATTCAGGACATGTATGATGACGTGTGAAAATCAGACAAGTTGTTTTCTAGTAATCTAATCTCACATGGCCTTTAAGGAGGTCTTTTGTCTAACAGGCACTTTTGTTACTCTGACCGAAATACCAGCTCCACTGTTAGCTTTGTTCTGCTCCCCTCCCTAAATTCCAAAGGCATTGTGCTCTATTATTTCCAACAAATCCAACAAAGTCTTGACTGTTCCTAGAACAGTCTCTAAAGTAATCAATTTTCCCTACAATGCTTGTCCACCTGTCTTAAAACAAGTCCAAAATGAGACTTGATAAGATGTTCCTACCACATATTGTTATTTACAGTTACTGCAGGATTATTTCTATATAAATTCTGTCTAGGTAAACTAGTCTCCCCAGCCATTTCTGCCTTTAAGCCTCATGTCACCATCTATCTTTTCACCTGTTACAGTAAAACCTGTTGCTATCATGAAACCATGCTGTCATCCCACTTAAAATCATTCAAAAGCAAAATAATGAACTCATTCAAACATGACCATGACTTTTTGATTATGAGAACTGACAGAATCTGTTTTAATTCATGTTCTACCTGATTCTGAAGGAACAAAAATCAAGTCTGTCTTACCTGACAGCTCCCAGCCAACTCGCACGAAGCAGGTAAAGTATTCCTGTTTGGTCAGTGTGTGTGTATGCGTGTGTGTGTGTGTGTGTGTGTGTGTGTGTGTGTGTGTGTGTTTGGGTGTGTTTGCACAAGAGAGGCTCAGCTGGTTTCCTTGGCAGTGGAAACATACAGTATGTAAATACAGCCAGTGGCTCCACCTCCTGAGTTAAAAAGGTAAAGGAAGCAAACAGAGGGAGGAATACACAGGGAAAATGGGAACAGTGGTGTGTCTGCAGTGAGAGTCATTGCTCTGACATCTAGTGGCTGAATAAAGCAGGGGAAAACATACAGTATATTAACTCTGAGGAATGTGTTGTTGCAAAGTCGAACACTCTGTTTGAGCGGGGGTGAAACAGGGTGACAGATGGAGAGAGGGGGATGCCAGGAGACAAACCAGAGTCTGTCTAATCTGACCCTCCTCCTCATTCCCCATCCTGTTTACCTGCATGAAAGTTTTGAAAGGAGCTCTGTGTGTGTTTGTGCGTGTGTGTGCGTGTGTGCGTGTGTGCGTGTGTGTGTGTGTGTGTGTGCGTGTGTGCGTGTGTGCGTGTGTGCGTGTGTGTGTGTGTGTGTGTGTGTGTGTGTGTGTGTGTGTTTATGCATGAGGTAGGGGGTAGGGAGAGTAGAAAAGGGGGCTGCTGTTATTAGGCTTCCTCCTCTGATACAGCAGACAGACAAAAGGGGATCAAAAAGCCCACAAGACGCTCACAAAAACATAAAATAAGACCTTTGGATCAGTAAGTGCGTTCACATACAGACATGCCATGCAAACTCTGGCTCGCTCTTTCAGTGTGGCTTCTCCTGCCAACCTCTGAAGCTGGAAGGCAGATGCCTAAACTTGCTGACAAGAAACTCTGCGCTGACTCCGAATGCAGCCGTAAGTAGGACACTCACAAACTTCCCTTTACTGCCAATGACTGCTGTGCTTAGTAGTTCACTATGTTGTAATCATGTTATACAACTGTTGGTAAATTTGAACAGCTAATACTCATGCAGAATGTATCAATTTGCATAGCAATATGACAAATATTTGCAAAAGTCCTCTCTATGATGCCTTCTGTCCTTTCCCGACTCACATCTCCTTTATTCCTTCTCAGACCCTATCTTGATAGCTCGTGCAGTGCAGGACTACTACCCTGGAGACTGCAGGTTCATCCCCATCAGACAGGGGCAGCTCGTCTATGTCTATGCAATGCTGAAAGACAGAGGGAACCTCTTCTGGGCTGGCAGTGTGAGTAAAACACACATGTTTATAGGATAATATGTATTTCTAACGGTCATGAAGACGTAACATATCGGTATGCAGCAGTAACATTCACCTCAGCAAGTCATGCTGTCAACAACTTTCGTCTGTATCATCTGTTTGCAGGTACAAGACTCGTATTATGGACAACAGGAGGCTCGCATTGGCCACTTCCCCAGCAGCGTAGTGGAGGAGATGCATCCTCTCATGCCAGCTAGCACTGAAGTCACAACTACTGTAGGTGAACACACACACACACACACACACACACACTACATATATGCATTATACAATGCTTTCCTCTAATTCTACGCCTCTTCTTTTTTGTAGAAATGGGACTTCTACTGTTACTGATGATGCCTTTACCAACAAAGAAAACGACCCTCTTGTGAACTACATTACAAGATAACTTTTTATTTGGTATCATATGATCTTACACACATTGTTGACAGTATATATGTACAGTATATATGTACGGCACTGCTGATAATCTGCAATTTAGACAGATATGGGCAACAGCTCTGCATAGCAACAAATGATTGTAGAATGTAATCAGATTGTAGAATCAGGATTTTCAAACACTGAAACAAGAACCATTGCTGCTAATGGTTTGTATTTGACTCCTTCTGTCTGTTTTACTGGTTGATCGAAAAATCTCGCAGCCTACATTCTCTGTAATACCCCTTCATACAGTTTATATCTGTGTTGCAGGTATTAAAAGGCATTAAATAATATGTTTTTTTGTTTTTTTTTTAAAAGAGACAAATATAAATTTGGCATATTTTTACTCCCCTTCTTTTACTACAACTACTATTTTTCCTTGTAAATTGAGAAAAATATGCCCGCAATGTCAACTGCTAAATGTACAGCAATGAACAGGTTTTCTCTCCTAATTACCTAATTAGATCAAAATGAATTAGGGACATTCCCAATGCACCGACAGGATATAACAGTGTCAGTGTTAAAATCACTGTATTTGCATGTTGGCTAGTAGTCTAGTCTAGACCTGACAAAAACAAATAAAAACCTGTACGCATAACATGCGACAGTTTTTGTTTTAAGTCACATAAAGCAGCATGATGCATCACTGTCTCCCCAGAACTACTCTATGTTGTTATGTGAAGTTCTTTCAAAAGCAGAAACACTACACAAACAGAAAAACACACACTATAGATTTTGAGTTTCAACGTTTATTCTATTTGATCTTTTCTTTGTTAATATGCCAAAGGGTTGTTGCCAATATGAAGGGATGATGGAGCTGTAATTCTTGCATCTACAAGCACATATGCACTCTCTCTCTCTCTCTCTCTCTCTCTCTCTCTCACTCTCACACACACACACACACACACACACACACACACACACACACACACACACATTAACATTATCCTTAGCAGCTCAGAGGTCATGCTCCCCAGTGGATAAGGAGCCCAATGATAAAAGTTGTCTGTCTCCAAACATCAGTTCCTCCCTTGTCCACTACTTTCCTCCTCCCTCCCACTCATTCACCCTTTTTCATCCTCTCAACAGAGTACACACCTGGTCCCAAGTCCTGTGGTGGCTTTTTTAGTGAACAAACTAAAAGTAACTGCATATGCCTCCAGAGAACTCATTCCTCCTCACACATACAGAAACCAACACTATTCTCAAAGAATAACCAGAGCACAGTTGGCATCTTACTCATACCCACTCTGACAGTACGGTGTAATGTAGATACAATCAAGTTTAACAATTTTAGTCTGTTGCCATCTTCACTGGACAATTTTTAGAGGAGGTCTTTACATTTCCACTCCTTATATTGACTTTATTTAGCATTTCCCAGTAAAAGTAATAGATGCTGCAAGCTAGGTTAGGTTAAATATAACACATGCTTACAATTTTGTCACTAAAGTGCACGTCCAGTATAGACATTATGTGTTGTATAACATACAACAACAAATGCCAGATAAAGACAGGAAATGCCTTTAAAACTATGAATACATGCCCTTTATGTGCCACTTACATGGTGGAGTGAATATTTTTGGCACAGAGGTATAGTTTAAAGAGCGATTCTGTAGGCTTTTGATAGAAAAATTAACTCTCAGGAGTTAATTATCTTGCAATTCACCACAGTCTGTCTATGAAAAACTTAAATGTCCTGTCAGACTCTGTTAAATGGGCTCAACATATTAGTCTTTGGTTTTAACGCACCATTGTCTTGCTGAGACATCAGGATAATAGGGAGTTAGGAGTTAGATACTGGTTTATTAGAAGGCACTTGCACTTATAGACATCTAGACATGTATGCCCCACCTATATGTGTGCTGAACTCCCAACAAAACTGTGACAGGTTAAATATAAAAACAGGTGGCACTTGGGGTTAGTAGTGAAACAGTGTCAGGAGCGTCAGGCTCTACTCTACATTTTCTGTTTCTGTGTTCCATCTTCACAGGAAATGGGAATACTGCGCTCTTGGCCCGCCGATGACCGAGGCGCCGTGATTGTCAGCACACCATCAGATGACAGGCTGGAGGTGACATCAGCACTTGACACACCGGCAGGAAGCCTGTACTTCCTCAGAAACTCTCTCGACACAAAGCCATGGTCATCCTGGAAACAGAGTTAGTAATTGTATCAGCAAAGTGTCACCAAATCAATTTCGTTTGAACATTTCTGCAGATCTCTGTAGTCCCTCTAACCTGTCTGTCTTCATGTTTGGCGTGTATTGTGATGAACTCGTCACTGACATTGACAGACAGCTCGTCAGGGGAGAAGTGCTTCACGTCCAGATAAATGACAAAGCGATCCCTTTCCATGCGCATCTATATACAGACAGTGCAGCCGTTAGGAGCAGTACTGAGAAATAAGTCAGCTGGGCATAAAACTCACATTAGCTTGTTATTGTCAACTCAGTGCAAGACTCATACTTCTAAATTATATGGAGAGTGCCATCAGTGGAAGAGGATATTCTTCCATTCTTCAAATCATCAAAACGAATCTCACAGATTACGTTTCTGTTCAATGATCTGTCACATGACATCAGTGTATCAGTTTTACCCCTGATTTTATGATAAGTGGTGTTTGAAAAATTGCTAGTAATAAGTTTTCAGACAGCAGTCATTTCACATAAGACGATTACACAGTTAACAGATGAATTTTACTTTACCTCACTGTGTCCATTGTCAGGCAAGTTGAACCAGCGCATGAACGAAGGGCGTATCCAGGGGAAAGACCAGGAGAAAGGCCAGATGAGGGGCCAGTCAGCGAGAGGTTCTGCCAAGGAGGGGTCAGGGAGCCGATGTGGGAAGGCCCTACGGTACCAGGGATACTGGATGGGGATATCCATGATGAGATGCCAGAAGAGATGAAAAACAAAACGATGGGTATGAGGGCAATTGAGTCTTGGTTTGACTTGGTTTGAGATGGGTGCTGCTGTGCTCTCCTCCACCGCATTTATAGGCCTTTCCCTCCCATCCCACCCGAGTTCTCTCTGCTCACATCCTCTGTATCCCCCTCCCCTCCATAACCTCCAATGCACACTTGCATAGTGACTCTGCCAACAAGCTGATTTTTCTGGAACAATGATGTCAACTGTTTATCACTCCATTGCCCTCATTGTTTCATCTGTCTGACTGTGACTGGTTGTCTCTCTCTCTTTCTCTCCCTTTCTCTCTGTAACTCTGTGTCTCTGTCTCCCCCTTCTCTCGGTCATGAGGTGACACTGGCTCAGAGTACTGCTGATGCCCCCATACTCATTCCCCAGGAAATACCCCTGTCTGGTGTGTGTGTGATTTTGTGCGTGTTTGTTTGAGGAATAGCTGCCAGAGCATTAGCCTGCTGTGCTCCGAATGCCAGAAGCTTTAGGTTTGTAAGCAGAGTGGAAGTGTGGTTGAATGGGAATTGATGAGTTTGTATGGGAGAGCATTAGGTGACACTCTAAGCATGTATCATTTTGCTATGAGCTCAGATGAAAAATATGAAGTCCTTTCCAACTGTGCAACATTTGTACCAACCACATTTCTTTCTGTCTCTGCTTCATCCTCCCAGTCATAGTGTCTCCAGAGTAGGAGAACTGTTGAATTTGTGTTATCTGCAAGCACAGAGATTCAACAGAAACTTTCAAACCATCGTGCAATCACTGTTATAGTGCCTTTATGTGCCTTGATGATGTCATGATTTTTCTTGACAAAGTTACTGCAAAGTACAAAAGCCAGATTCAAAGCAAGTAGACCTTTTAAAGGTGTGACAGCTATGTAACAATTAGGCTACAGGGTAATTGTAAATGCTAAAACATAGTGTAACAGTAGCACAACCATCACAAGAGTCAACAAGTCAGTGAACTGACCAATATACAGCAGTATCTGCAGTTTGCCAGCATTAACCAGTCGCTAATGGTCACACCAGACCAAGACAGATTTGGCAGTAAAACCACTGGGGGAAAGTGAGAAACTGTGTCTTATTGATTATAATGTAGCTTTTGATTTGTAAGAGAAAGAATGTGTTTTTTTTTCTTTCAGAAGTTACATAGTGTTTCTTTAAACACGAAACTGCATTTGTCTGATTCTACAAAATACAGCCTGAGAGTTGAATTTGTGGGTCTGTTGTGTTTTTAAACAGAACTTGCGTGTGAGTTGCCCTGCCTCCTCTCTCTTTTGCGTCGTTACCATGGTGACATGCCTCAGTCGCTTTGAGCTCTTTGTTGTTGGATATAGTAGCTAACAAAAATATGTTGGTTTGTTAAAATTGTCTTTGTGACCACAGAAATGGACTTACCGGCTTCATATTACGGCATAATTGATAAAAGAAACCCAGTCATTTCAGCTTTTGAACGGGACATTAACTCGTTTATGACACTGATGAGACGAGTCGTTTCTTCAAGAAGTCAAGACAACGGCTCTAATGCTAAAGGGTAAGATGTTAAAAGCCAGCTAACGTCAGCTAATGAAAGTTAACGCTAATTATTAACGCTAAACATGTAGTTTATTCCACTTATAGACACAGTCTCACAGTTACTGACAGTCTAAAAATCCCTCCTATTAAACAATGTTTTTACGTTAGCAAACTCACAAGGCCAGGCTTGACTTTGTGGTAATGCTACTGAAATTTTGACGATTCTGGGCCCCTGACCAACACAGCAGTATTCAGAAAGTACGCTTTCCTACTTTCCTAATTTAAATTTAAATGTAAATTAAATGTAAATCTTATTGTAAGTTTATTTTTAGAAATTTGGAGTTCAGACTGTTGGTCAGACAAAAAGGCATCCTGAGGGTTTCACTTTGGGCTCTGGGTAATTGTGATGAACATTTCCAATTGTTTTAAGGGTGTTTACAAACAAAATAATGAATTGATTAATTGAGAAAATAGTCAACTCAGTCTAAGTACTTCCTCTGCAGCTGCATCACAGCAATGAATGAGTAAAGCTAGTGGTAGTGATTATGAACTATTAGATGCACTCATTCTTGCCAAAATGTCCAAGCTGAATTTTTTAACTCTAAATTGATATTTTCTGAATTATAATCAGTGGAGTTGATTACAAAGAGGGCTCTAGCCTGATAGTTGGAGTGCCATATAGATACACAGTGTATGGAACAGGTGCTCCAATTTTGGAATAGATTTTATATTACATACATAGTGAATCAGCAATATTTTAGTGTCCTTTTTGCTAGTCTAGTTATATATCTATTTTAACATTAACCTGTTTTTAATTTGATTGTCATGATTGTCATTTTGAAGGATTAAAATCCTGGTGGAGATATGGAGAAAGTACAAACATCGACTGCCCTCAAGGTTGTACCAGGAGCGTATGTTGCAGATTGCAGATTTTCTCTATGGAATAAAGGTAATTCACAGTAGCCTCAATAATACCAGCTGTTATGTAGTTTCCACAACTGAAGTTGATTGCTTTTCCAACAAAATGTTGTGTTCCATCAAAAACTAATTCAGTCCCCGCTTCATTATTTTATCACTCCACATAATCAGGGTGGTGAAAGGAACCCTGGTCAGTATTGGTTGCTGTGCATAGTATGCTTGTTAGGATATTAGTCAGTCAGGTGAAGCTGCTGCCAAATGCTTTAGGTTAATAATCATCGTAATTTATGTCGTAATGTGATAAATTTAAGTTGTACTATTAGTTGCTGCACATATACAGTTTGTCTTGTCTATTCTACATTAACAACCTCTTGTACTACAATGTTGACTGCTACTGCTTGCTTCTTTCCCCTTCTTAGACTTCATCAGTACATAACTGCTGTAGCAGCTGAGTGCTGGTCCCATAATTAGCCAGTTAATTTTTTTACTCCTGCAAAACTGACTGCAGGAATTGACCAAGATGTCCTTTGCACAGCACATGGTTGACATTAAGTTATTCTTCCCTATCCTCTTTGTTTGTAGTTGTACCAATTGGCTCTTTGGCAGGGCTACACTCTCCACCTACTGCAATTCAGCACAGTGAAAATAACTGACATCACAGATGTGGACCACTTCATGGCCTGCTTCTTCCCTGAAGGTTTTGATACAGACAAAGATGCCTTTGCCTTGAAGGTATATTGTATTATGCAAGCTTGTCTGTAGTGTGTCTTTGTGTGGTATGTTTGACTGCTGACAGTCTGACTGTGAAGTGAAAAATGCTTATTCTATTTTGTTATTTTAGTTCATAAGAGATGTTGTCATGTGGAGAGAGGTCATTGATATTTTGAGACGTTTGTATGTGAACCCTGATATACTGTATATATGGAACGTGTTTGTGTGTGTGTGTGTGTGTGTGTGTGTGTGTGTGTGTGTGTGTGTGTGTGTGTGTGTAGATCCGTGCAATGCAGGGCTGTGCCCTGTGTATATTTGAGCTGGAGAAAAGGCACAGCGTCCTCAGCCAGAAGGGACTCTGTAAACTGCTGCGTGTGCTGAACTTCATCAGGATCATGATGCAGGCTTTTCAGCAACATGAACACCTCTGCTGGCAAATATATAATGGTATATTTGTACAACTTATGTAATTTGTTCAGTATTTGCTTTTTGTCTGACAGAAAATTTAGGAAAAACTATTTGAGTTGTGAAAGTCTGAGAAAGAGAAAGAGAAGATTTTGATAATGTGCCCAATATAGAGGGCCTGTGACGTTCCAGATGCAAGGAGTGTATCCACTAAGTTAACATTGTGAACAAAGCTGATGCCGTCAGAGTAACAGGTTAACTTTCCAAGGGTACCCTATGATTCCTGGAAATATGTTAGCACAAGAACAAGATATAGTGAAAATTACATAGCATGCTTCAATATAAGTAATGGTAGTTCATCTGTTGTTAGATTAAAGTAAGAAATTATAGAATTCAACTGTATTTGATGTCATATAGCAGAACTAACCTCATACTATGCATCTTTCTATTTTTCTTTCTCATCTTTTCCAGGTTCATTACATATCTACACCATCTGTCGTTATCTGATGGCCATGAATTGTAGTGCACAGGTACTCAGAGATAGATGATAGATGGAACGTATAGTACTGTATATCTTGTTTCAGCTGTTATAGACTATTCATCCTCTAAAGAGTCTTTTCAAAAGGTTGTTTTTGCCATGCCACATCTAATACACTCTAAAGGGAAAGATAGAGTGGATGAGTAAATAATAGTATGTGATGTGTGGTTTGTGCTAATTATGACTGAAAAACTATATGAGTTTTGGAAAGTGAGTTTGATTGACGTGAGATTCACTCTCTTTTGCACATTGGCTGGTGTCCTTACCCTCCTTCTGGTGTGTTAGAATTCAGGTTAGTATTGTATAGGGTATAGTACATATAGGGTATAGTATAGGGTAAGTATTGTGACTAAAAAAAGACAACATGCAACTCCTAAAACTGATTATGGTATTTTTACCCAATGAATGATGTGATACAACCAGAAATTATTGTGAGTTATATTGTACATATAATTGTCTGAGTGTCATGCTTTAGAATACTTTATGCCACCAATTGTGATCTGATTCAGGCACTGGAGTACCTTCTGTGGGCAGGCATCAGTTTTGAGCTCTCCATTCCACTGATGACTGCGAAGTATCTGCCATGGATTGTCACACTCTACTGTGCTGTCTGTCACTGTTACTATGACAACCAGGCTGCAGTGCAGGCGGAGGTGAAAGACACACATAATATGCATCCAGACACCTACAAACACACAATCATCATAATGTCAACAGACTATTCACAGGCTGATAATAACAAGTTATAAATACCAACGTACAGCCTTTCTCAATCTGTCTGCAGTTTTCCGATAGCCAATTTTACAGCAGTTTACCTGGTGTTAATATGCTGAATTTTATTATATAGTCCTAATTACCAAGGATTATATAATAAAATTCTGCTTTGATGTTCATGTATTTGCTGTATCAAGATTTTACTGTTTCAAACACATAATTAAATAATACATTCTCCATGTTAATATAAAATACTGGTCACAGGTTTATTATGCATGGACATGTTGAATGAATATTGAAGTCACATAGAAAAGGTTCTTAAACTGAATTTCTGATTTTTTTCTGCAAGTCCTATTCCATATTTGTGGAGTTGTTTGTGTGTCTCCAAATACTTTCAGGAATTTTCCAGGAGAGCCCTCGGAAAAATCAATGAGCTAGCACAGCTGGAGGAGCAGAGTGAAGTTCCTGCCACCAGAGAGACTCAGAGAGCTTATAAAGAGGCGTCTATCAAGGCAGGAGCCTACTCTCATCAAAACATACTCTTACTACTGTTACTGGATAAAATATAGAGTAGATATCATTTGCATTTCTCACTGACAGTGAGTTTCACAGTCAGGAGAGAAAAACATTAAAAGGATGCAAGGAACATGTAGTGCATGTAAATATAAAACCAAATACCAATCTACATATATAATCTACACATACAATGATAATAAATTAAAGCACTATGTGAAGTCCAGTGGACACTGCCCAAGCATGAGAAGCCACATTCCTTCTTTCTCAACTCATGCCTCATTAGCATTAACTGGCTCTCAATTCATAACGTCTTTCTCACTGAGAAACCTCTCGGTGTGTAACTACAATACAGACACATACAGATTGTTGCCTTTTGTAGATGTATGCATTTTGTGACTTGTGACTTTCTGATCCCAAGTTAACAGTTTATTACATTTGCCTTTACAATAGTGATATGGTTTTTTTTGGTTTATCAAATTAAAAGTGATTGAGATCTTTTTTTTCCAGCTGGGTGCCATGATGTTCAAGCGGGCAGTGTATGAGACCAAAAGGAGACCCAAACCAACGTTCAGAGTCAAAGCCAAAAGCACCCTTAAGGACATGCCTAACGTAATTAGATCCACTTTAATGAAGTGTCATCATACTCAGTGTTAAATATCAGACTTAAGTGTACTGTCAATTTAAAGGACATATTCAATGTAGTAGACCATCCAAACACATGCTAACTCCTGTTAAATTATTAAATAAACAGTTTACTTTGCAGTTTTTTAAGCCTTACTTTACTGTCTTTATTATAATGGAGTGAGGCTCAGGATGTTTGCTTAGGTTGTAGACTAATTTTGTTCTTGTTACATTACCTAGAATTGTATGTCTGACTGCATCCACTGTAGGTGCCATGGCCCCGTACTGCAACAGAGCGTATGCTAATGGGACTGTTTGACAACAGTGCAGCACAGTTCTTGGGCATCTTAGAAGCACTTTGGGACAGCACCAGACACCCACTGCAAACGAGGATGCCAGATGAACCAGAGCTGCAGGAAGTCATCCTGGAACTCCTGTCTGCTGGCATCAGTATATTATCTGGTTAGTAATACGAACACATAGCAGAAAAAGACTCTCTAGTAATTACAGTAAGTATGTGATTAAGAGCAAACATACAGGTGCAGCAGACCCCTTAGATGTAATTGTTTAAATGTAAATGGGTATTTAAGGTGTAGAATGTTCACTTTATATATTAAGTAATGAGCTTGTGTAACATGTTTTGTTTCTGTATGTTAAGGAGTAACAACTACTAGTGAGCAAAGGTATGATGACCAACCATACATGTGTCTTAGTACACTGACATCGACATCCACTCTAATGGATTCAGCCATTACAGGTTAGTCTTCTTTGTCCTTTTTTCTTACATTACCATCAACATGTTATACACCACTTTATGATGCAGTGCAAGGTGTTTGTGTTGTGCAGTGGTTTGGAAAAATTGTGTCACAATGATGTGATGTTGTGTTACTAGGTGAAAACAAAGTACCCATCATGTCTGCAGTGAGGTTCATTAAGCTGCTATTTCAGTACAAGGAGCCAGATACATTCACTGAACTTGTCAAAGAGATGCTACAGGTTTTGTCTGTGAGTGGCACACACACATCTACTGCAGTCTTATTATTCATAAAAAGGGGAATACATTCTATCAGTTATCACTTTTGTATTCTTGTGTTTCCAGTTTGAGTTTAATGTGTGTTGTATTCCTGAATGATCTTGAGTGAGAGTCTCTTTTTGTCTCTCTGTATCAGGGTGTGGAAGGTCAGTCATTCAGGAAGGCAGAGATGGAGCTTGCTTTACTCGACAGTTTCAACAGTCTGCTGTGTTCCCAGAGGAGCCGTCCTAAAGATGACAACGTGATTGATGGTAGCAAAACTAAATTGTGCAATATATAGGCCTCGAAACCTTTTTAGATAAATTGATTGATTAATAGAAACTGGGTTTTGTCCACAACATCTTCTCGTAATTGATTTATTGTTGATATCCAGACTTCATTAGTCTTTTGGCTTATTTTCTTTGATTGTGGTTGCCTTCGAACAGAAAGTACTTTAAATGATGAGGGGCACTGTTTTATCTTAATCTGGTTAATGCCTGTTGAATATTAGCTAACATGCTTTGAGATTGTTCATAACCTAGCATTAGGTTCTAATAAGATGCTTAACACTGGCCCTCAGTTACTTGATTACAAAATATCCAACACTTATTTCAGCTGTGTCTGAATTTTAATGTGAGTTTGGTGTTTGATGTTTCCAACAGACAGACACATGTCTTCATTCTCAATGAGTGATGAGTTCATTTGCCTGGTAGACACCCTGCACAACACTGTTTGTGGCTGCGCTCCTGTAAGTTTCCATATTGTGTATATGCTTGTGTTGGGGTTGATCTGCAAGTAGAGTTCAGATGAAAATTAATTCAGCACAGGACTTTTTAGTCTGTGTATGTGTGTGTTATGTATGTATGTGTGTGTTTTTGTAGGAGGTACAGCCAGACGAGGACCTGGTTTTGGATGTTTTTTTATTTATCTGGGGTAAAGTAAAGGTGGTGATGCAAAAGGATAAGCTGCAAAACCCAGAGTTTACACACTACCTTGAGAAGGTTGATAATTACGATAAGGTACGTATTTAAATAGGTAAGCACGGTTTACTTTTTCATCTACAGTGACCATAGTTTTTCTTATCAACGCAGTTTGTAGAGTATTGGACTGTTTAAACTATAACTTTGATTTGAACAGGATAAAACACATACAGGAACTTATATTTACTTAGAAATTTCACAGTATATTATATGCACACATAAACTACTTATTTCTGTTAATTTGTGTGTGGTATTATTTTTAAACATATTTGCAGTGGCTGTGGTGTCTATCTAGGCTGTGTGAGGTGGCCTTTGCCTCTGATCTGGCAACTGTGGACTGCATAATGACAACAGAGATGATCCACACACTGGCCATACTGCTAGAAAGTGCAGCTGAAAGCAGTAATCAAACACAATGTCCAGGTAAGGGATAAGGTTCCACCATATGCCCTGTCTCGGTCTGTAGGACAGCTGAAATCACTTTTGTGCTTGATCGTAATAGAATTTCAGTCTTGTATTTGGCATCTGGGAAACTTCCACCATAGTCTCTCTCTCTCTCTCTCTCTCTCTCTCTCTCTCTCTCTCTCTCTCTCTCTCTCTCTCTATCTATCTATCTATCTATCTATCTCTCACACACAAACACACACACACACACACACACACACACACATTATTCATAATATGCAGTATATACAATGTTTTCCCACACCATAGTTATGACAGTATGATTGTTCTAATGTCTTATGTCTAGCAGCTCCTGAAGCAGACAGTGATGGTGTGAAACCATGCCCTTTCTCTCTTCATGAGGTATGTGAATGGTTGAACTGTATAGACTCAAATTATACTTCCATGTATTGCCAAGGTTAAAAAAAACAGTATTCTGTGTATGGTTTTTCAAAAATATTGCAAACTTAAATGCATTGTAGAATATTTGTGTCTGTATGTGCTTGTAGAGTTCAAGTACAGAGATGCTTCAGAAGGTGTGTGAGTTGGTGAGGAGAGGTCTTAAAGCATTGGCAAAGGGCATAGCTACACTGCTACCCCAAGATTGCTCAGCAATCACTGACTCTGCTTTTATGCAGGTAGGCAGTCAACCTGTTCAACACAGTAAAACTTAAGTGTTCTAAGTTCTAAACCAGGCGTTGCCTTGAGTTTGATCTCAGTACTGTATATACATTAAAATTATAAATAAATCAGTATACAGTGAGAATATACAGTGGTTGAGTGCTGCTAAAACCTGTTTTGCTCTTGTTCTGATAGAAATTTTGTCCCCTCCCTCCATCAACTCCTTCCCTATCAGAAGAGGGAAATGAGAACGATGAAATAAGTAAGAAGGAAAAAGAAGAAGTGGAAACTAAGGCAGATTCAGATATGAAAGGCTCTCAAGACACTCAGTCCACACGTGTGCCCCTGCTGGCCACAGACCTTCATCTAGAGCTAGACATCATCCACCACAGAGCTTCCCTCAAGTTACTGCAGCTTAATGCAGGTCAGACTCACTATCGCACTGACAAAATTACTCATCACTGATTAATTACATTGAGTTTGTACTCCATTTTACATTAATAGAAATGGTGAAACTTCCTGCTCCTGCATTTGATGATTCACAAACAGAACTTAGTTGATGTAAATATTCCAAAAGAATATCGATTTAAAAATTAGATGTCTACCAATAAATCATGCCTAGTTCCAGACACAAATAATGGGTCTAAATAAGTGGCTTCTCCTGATACTTCCATTCTTGTGTCTAGTTGCAGAGTCTGAACTGTTGGATCGGATCAAGAAGAACAAGGTGTCCAAAGCTCTTTTTCTGGTCCAGAAAGCCTTACTGGTGTACAACAGCATGGGACCAAATAAGAGCAGCAAAACCAAGAGTCTGCTAGAGGTTACATGTGCATGATTCATACTTTGTTAGACTAACCCACAAATACACATGTAATGTAAAAAAAAAGTTGATATCATCTCATGCCAGCTGTTGATATATTTCCACATAATGTTATGTATGTTGAAAAATAGTAAGTAACACTTAAGACAGAGCCATTATCCTGTTAATAAGGCTTAACTGTAATAAATGCTCTCTTGGTTCTGGTGGTACCTCCGGTTACATCTTTGACTGAAGGCCTGCTAAATAATGAAATCAACTAGTGTAGTCAGTTTTTGGACTTTAAACCTTCACTTAGAGCCTCAGTGGCACATTTAACTTCAGTACATACTGTGTAAGTAGGGTGTCAGACTCAGATGTAGCCACTTTTATTAAGGACTGGTGATTGAATTGAGCTTTAAATGTAATCAATATTCAACTGGTTTGTCCATGTGTTGTGTTTTTGCCAGGAGGCTTCCATCCTGATAGAGAAAGCAGGAGTAGAGGAGAGGCGACTGCATATCTCCACCACCTCTAAGACACCTGCTGAAAATAAAGACAAAGGACTGAAGGAAGAAGAGGAAAACCCTCCACCTCCCCCCATCCTACTCTCACGCACTGACCATTCCTTAACTTTTGCTCCAGCACCTTATAATTTGGAGGGACAGGTGAGATCTGATTTTAATTATGTGGTTGTTTTACTAACCTAACAAGTAGCAAATAATCCAGTGTAATTTATATACTTTTTTATCTTTCTCTTTGTACTTTTTTTTCTTTACAGGTGTGCTGGTACCAGCTTTGTGGCCGTGCAGCTGAGGGCATTAACCAGAAAGTCCGCCTTGGAGACTGCAGCCTGTCAGGAACTGGAAATATGGTAAAATTGATTTCTTTCACAAAGAGTGTCATTTGTAGTGGGACTTGACCTGATGTATGTTGTGATATAAGCCCTGACTTTGTCTGTTTCCAGGTACCAGCAGTATCTGGTGAGTGTGTACTGAGTGTGGAGGGGCTTGTTCCCAACCAGAAATATGTGTTTGCTGTTGCAGCCTACAACAGCCAGGGAAAGCTACTTGGAAACACCATAGGGGCGACAACATTCCCACTGCTGGCATCCATGCCTGTACCACTGCTCTCCACATGGGCTCACTTGGCTCAGGTACACAAGTCTCTACTTGGTACTAATATGTCACCTCACCACACCTATCACTTGTTAGGTTCAGGTGCTTGTACTACTCCTGGGAAAGAACAGCAGAACCTTTGTCCAACACTTTCATTCTAACATATTTGTACATCTTACCTCATTTGGGTGTAGGGTGGAATAGAGAGCCTTTAGGCATGATAATGATTAACACTGACTCACACAGCTGTGTTCACTATCAGGATATTGGCCAAGGGAAAAGACATAGCACTGCAATACTGATACCCACAGAGCCAGAGAAAAATCAGGATTATGGATTATGACTTTTTTGACTCCTTCTTCAGGCAGCATTTCAAACAGAACAGTATGCCTTAGCAAAGAGAGCCTGCAGGGAACTGTGGAGCCATTATACCTTCCCTGACCCTGAGTCCCACAGTACACAGGATAGACTTGCTACCACAAGGTAAGGAGGGAAACACATCCACACAGTTCAGGTAAAGGAGTCTGTATTTCAATGCATTTGCTTATATCTATCATCTTTCCATATATTTCCCTCTCTGTCCCCATTCACCATGCTAAAGGCTGCATAAACAGACCGTACAAAGCTCCTCTTCTCACCTGTGTCAGTTGTTCCTCACTTCCATCTTCATTGAGACAGAGATCAATATTCAGCAGGGATCGCTCTACTGTAACTCATTCAGTGACAATGGGCCATTTATCTCGGAACAGGTAACAATTTAATCTAGATTGAGAAGTATATACATATTTGTCAAATTATATATAAAACAATAACATATAAGACTGTAAAACTGTAACAAGAAGTAAGGCCAAACAGTTTGTTTGATAGTTACTGTTGATAGTGGCATCACAAGTGTTCTTGTCTCTTTTTTGCCTTTTTGTATTGATGTGACCAAAGGTGAACATAAATAACATAAATTAATAATATGTGCTTGTGTGTATGCAGGAAGCCAGGCTGGCAGAATGTGAGCGAATGCTGGTGGCTATGGACTTGGCAATGTACTTAAATGATGGCATGGCTGCCGTGCAAGCTGTAGTAAGCTGTTATGGCCTTTTGGCACCTCTAATCTTTCATCAGATCCAATGCAACCCTGTGGTACAGGTATGCAAAAACCATATCATACAAGTCTTAATATTCTGTCTTACAAAGGCAAACTTTACTTTTTTATGATGTAACATAATACAAACTACAAATAATTCATAAGTGTGTGTGTTTGTGCCTGTGCTCTGATGTTCAGGTGCTAAAAAAATGCTTGATAGTTTTGGAGGAGAATTCAGGTCTTCTCAAACACAAATGGACTGGAAACATCTCAGAGTCATTTATGCACATGATAGCCTGCATCACCTACTACTTGTCAAAGGTGTGTCTGCATGTGTATGTGTAAGGTTTATTCTGTTTATGTGTGTTCACAATAAAAGTTCCAAGTACTTCCAGTCATACTTTTATTTACATTTTACATACTTAACCCGTCCTCTCATCCACAGTAACTTATAATTCTCAGATATCCCAAGTGATAATTAACCAGGAGCCTTGCTCAAAATAATTTCTCTTTCTTCATCCTTCCTGACCAGACATTACGTGCGCTGAGGGAGCATGAGATGGCTTTTGCAGTTATGGACTGTGGTCGCAGGCTGCTCCAGGAGGTCTATGATGCCCAGTGGCAAATCATGAGACTTGCCAATGAGGCTGTGGGTGTAAGGAAGAGTGGAAAAGTGATTTTTTTCATGATTTTTCCTCTTAGAATGATCATAGATCATGAAATTAATACAATTACCCAATATATTTTTAGATTTTTACAAAAGACTGCTATATTTTTAGGTGATGTTATGATATTAAAAATTCTTAATACTCATCAACTGAAGAATATCTTGCTCCACAGTTCTAGTATTTCTGTGTGTTTCTTTGTGTCTGTGCCGTCTAAGACACATCATGCTGCAGTCAAGGGTGAAATAAGTCTTCAGCTGAAGGCACTGTATGCGAAGAACAAGAAGAGAATCACATCTGAAGCAGCGGTAACCGCAGACAATGGTAACACAGGCATACACACACTGGTCTCATTATTTTTTTATTTCATTATTTTTAAAACAAGATGGTGTGTATAGCAAGAAGTTAAAGAAGAACTTTTTACTTGTGAGGATTACTTTTCTTTCAAAACTTTAGGTAACAAAATAATACAGCATGCTATTCTTAGTTGATCTTACTGATCAACCAATGAAAATTGACAGTAATAAATGACATATTCATTATTATGTAGCATGTACTTTTCATTTTTAGGCTACTGTTATATATATTATATGTTATATTATATACTTGGTAACCTTATTCACCAAAACAACCAATGGCATGTAACACATCTCTTTATAAAGAAATATTTCATTTTTGTTTGAGTCCCTCAGCTGGCTAACTTGTTTTGTGAACGGTGACTAAACTACTTAGAGCATAATAGATGATACTGCAGTTAGACATTGATCCAAATGTTTTAGTGAATACAACTGTCTTGATTTCTATAGAGATTTTGCGCTCACTGACTGGCAGTGAGGATCCCACCATATTGTATGAGCTGATCTCCAGCAGCACATTAAAGGATGCCTATCAAGATGGTAAATAGCATAAACTCACAAACTTCTTTAAATGAATAATTAGTCTTGTTAATTCACATCTGTCTTTGTGTGTTTGTGTTCTTGATAGTGATGAAGGTTAGACGCAAAGCATATTTCACTGAGTATGCGGCAGTACTACTCCAGAGAACCATGGAAGAAGGTCACCACAACCTTGTATTAAAGTGGGGCCAAAGCATATTTGAATTCCTTTCCAGGTATACTTTCACTGTCCAGCTCCTTGCTGATTTTTCGAAAAACAAATACTGGTATAGTCAAAATGTCAAACAGTGGATTGCTATCGACTTATTTATGGATCTTAATGTGGTTTGTTATTGACCTCATTATGGATATTTGCAGTTTTACCTACGCTGATGAAGATTTGTCAGTATTTGAATGGTTTTTCTGTTTGTCAGGCGTGACGAGGTGATGGGACTGTCCACAAAATGTTTGGAGGGAAATGGTGATAGAAAAAGAAGAAATAGTGTTCAAACTCCGAAAGGAAATGAACAACCCCAGGTGAAAATACAAATATGCACATAAACATGCAAGGACATAAGGACAGACAGTATCCTCAACATCTGTGCTATACTAAAAATGGGTGGATATTCTTTTTTGCATTACACTTTATGAACAATGCTCTACCAAGCAGCTGAGGGTGGCATCTCTCCTATTTCCAGATGGTGCCCCTCTGGCATCATTGGATTTTGACCTTGCCAAGCTTAATGAACTATGGGTGTTCTTAAATGCACATTACTTATGAATGAATCTGTGTGTGCGCTTAGGTAAAACCAATCTTTCATGTGGGATAAAGTTTTCTGGTTTCTGACTTTGCAAAGAAGCACCAATTTACGGTGTAGTCATATGCTTCACAAATTTTTTGAAAAATGCCTTTAATTTTAGTGCCTTACGTATATTGTAGACAAAATTCACAACCACTTTAAGTGCAGTTCATTAAGTATGTATCCCAACCCCAAAGAAAGCAGATAAAACTACAAACTAAAACTAAAAATGAAATGCACTATTTAATGATTATTTTTGCTATTGTTATTTTGAAGGGTTTGTTACTTTGTTTAATGTAAAATACACATATAAATACTTTTGCTGCTTTTTGAAGCAGAACAAGAACACACCTTCTCATGACGACACAAGAAAGAAAATAAAGCAGAAAATGCCACACAGCACTCTTCAGAGAGTGAAAACTAACAGGTACAGTATGTGTGTGTGTTTATCTGTGTGTTGCGAAAATCTGTGTTTGTGTGTGGCTGCGTGCATTTGTGTATTGTGCACTGACCTACTGTCCATGTGTGTAGGGAGATACAGGTTGTGGAGAACCTGATAACCATGATGTCGTCTGTGGTGCAACGCCACAAGAAGCAGCTTCAGCTGAGGAACATGTGCTGTGAGGAGAGAGTGTGGAAGTCACATCTTAACTACATCATGGCTCAGGCACATATAGCACTGCTTTACCAGGGCCTGGACCAGATACATGGAGGAGCCCTGCAGCACAGGTTCACACACAGATTACCAGCTTTACTTCACCTTTTTTGTGTTTTTCTGGGAACTATTGATTAGTTTCATCGATTACATGAGCTGGCCAAGGGGGTTGCTACCATTACATATCAACACATAGAGACATATTGTTGCCCATTGCCCATGAGCAGGATTGCATAATTTTTGGTACATTTAGTATTGATTTTTGTTACCTTAAGTCAGATATTGTGGTATTTGTGTCATTATTGTTATGATTAGTTTTTAAAATATGAATCATTTAAAATATACTGTATATTCATGTGTTTATGCCTGTAATACCGTGTACTGTATTTGCTTTGTTCAGGTACAGCCAGTTTAATCCCTTGTGTTTCTCTCTGGCCTATTCTGGTGTCCTGGTACGGAGGAACTCGCAGCGACAGAAGTCTTCTAAATATGAGGTTGTCTCGGAGAGAGACTCCTCTCACTCTGGTCATAGGAATTACGTGGCTACACACAAAGACAGGCTCAAAAAGGAGGGTGAGGAAAATGGCACACTGAAAAATTGGAAGAAAAACTTTACACCTGCTCTGAATTAATCACTTGTCCCCTTCTTTTTTTTCCAGATGTTAGGGCTGATGACTCTGTCTCAGAGGAGAGTTGTGAGGAGGGAGAGGACCCCTCACAATCTGTGGAACAGCAGATTGAGACACACAGGCACACTGCTGCCATGCTGCTTGACTCGCTTAACAAAGCTGCTTTACATCTCAGAAAGGCCATGGTACTGTTCACACATACATGCACGTACACTCGCATACAAGTAAACAAATTCTGAAATTACACATGACCATACAGTGTAAATCTAGGCTTTGCTAACTTTGTGTGTCATTGTATGAAAATCACAGATATTTTACTTGTGTGTGTTTATTCTGTCACATACTGTACAATAATTTTACTTTTTATTTTACTTTCAGAATTTGTCTGTACTTGCACTTGTACTGTACTTTATGCATCTATTTTTTTTATCTTTTTCAGGTGTTGGCCCATCGTGGCAGCCATTGGACCACTCTGCAGTGTGTGTGTCAGACTGTGTGGGACCAAAGCTGTAGAATTGCTTTCATAGTACAAACAGCTGTTCAGTTTGAACCTCACTCCCCCATGACAACAGAACAGCTGCACACCACCTTCACTCGGCTCCTGGTGCTGGCTACTGACCTAATCATGGATATGCTGAACAGACTAGGGGTAAATATCTCATACAGCTATATACAAATACGTAGCTACTTGTTTAAAAACTCACACACATGATCATTCATTTCTAGTAGATAAAAACAAAAAAAAAACTAAACCTCTAGATTGCAAATTCTGTTGTGATCGATAGGTTGCCATTGATTGCTGTGGTCACTACAGTCTGCATCTTGTGGAGATAACACAATCCTGTTTTTTACTTTTTATCTTCATCTTGGTCCCTACTAGTTGTGGAGTTTGTATGACAGCGACATGACTGAGGAGGAACTGGAGTCCAGTCTTCACTTCTCGGCCCCTCTGGATGACAGCACCCAGGTGGACCTGCGTTGGGTTCGGACCTTGGTGTTGCACACTCTGGAGCGGCTCCATGATAGTGGCAAATGGGAAAGCCTGGCCCACTTTGCCTTACTTTTCAACTCATACACACGGTGAATAAGACGGATTTTTTTATTTGTAGAACACACAGATTAAATTGATGCCACAAATCTAAGAGTGTAAAATTTATAGATAGGTTTGTATAGCAACATTTAAAAGACACAGAGATGAGTACCAGGTTTTAATCATTACAGGGAATTTGAGTGGAGATTTTCAATTTTTAAACTTTATCAGTCACAGCGAGGAAATATACAGTTGGTGTAGAAAGACATGACAATACAAGACATACTCACAATAGTGTAATATATAGAAATCTTTAAAGCATGAAATAAACATATTAAGTGGATTTTCACACAAAACACTGCTCTGTGTGTTCGTGTGTGTGTGTATGTGTGTGTGTGTGTGTGTGTGCTCATCTGTATGCCTATCTCAGGGAACGTTATGCCTTGATTACAACTCCTCTACTCATCCATGCTCAGAGGAGGCTGCTTGAAAGGATTAGTAGTTTTGGAGGACCTGCAGTTCCACAGCCACACCATATCAAGACACAGAAGGCCACTGGCAAAGAGGTACCATATACCCACACACAGAACCATGTTCAAGCTATGTATGATAATATAGTGAAAGTCAAAGTATATCAAGGAAACCCAAGCCAATAAAACTGTTCTATAGATATACTAATGTTTGATTACCTAGCAAGATAAAAGAAATACAACATTTCCCAGCCTTTTATGTGATATGTCATATATCTCATTATTCTTCCACAAACAAATGCAGTTGAAAGGTAGAAGAAAAACTCGATGAGGTCGAGAAATCACATGATAAGTATGAAGTCGGCAGTAATTTCTTGTTCAGCACCACCAAATCTGAAAATATACTCACATCATGTGTTTTTGCCCTATTGAAAGTATAATGACTAATTTATTCATGTCTTGTGTACACTTGTGCATTTTGTGTATTGTACTGTATGTGTATATATGTGGTACTTTCTTTTCTATATTTCAGGTAACTTACAGGAGCTACGCAGGCTGCCAGCTGCTCAGTGGGTGGATCCCTCACCATGCACAGCAACCATCCATTCACAAAAAAGCAGCACTCACAAACTCCACTCCTCAACATGCAGTTGAGCTTAAAGGTTTGAACAGCAAGTTTCAGTCATGTCAGAATATTTCACTCATACAAACAGTTGTTTGTAGTAAATGATGATGGCTGCCCTGTAATTGAAAAATTTCAATATTAGAAAATAACATAGGAATGCCTGAATGGTGAGATATTGTGGTATGAATTGTGCAAAATTACCAAAATGTTACAAGGATGTACAAAGACCAAACAAGTGTGGACAGGTTGTGTTTAAATGGATAATCTTTTCTTGCATATATGTTCTGTGTCGAAGGTGCAGAAATACAGCACTCCATGTCCCTTGTGTGCGTTCCTCTGGATGTAGAAGACACACTGAGCTGTTACCAACAAGCTCTTGAGAGAAGACCGCATTGTCTTCAAGTCTTCCAGCATAGTCGCTCATTACTGTTACTGCTACTGGCATACACACAGCCCTGTGAGTTCAGTTCTGATTAAGTGGACACATGCATACTCACACATCAGTTGTTTCAAACTCACACATGTCTGTGTTTCTATCCAGGCTTTGCAGGACAGTTGCGGCACTGTCAGAGCAGAGGTCTCAGCCATTCTGCAAGCCTGGTGGATTTCAGCCCCATAGTTATGCCCACTCCAAACATCCAACCATGCGACCTGACGGAGGAGGACTACAGTACTCAAAATGCTCTCTACAGCCTCCCTATCAGCACCGACCACATGCCGACTGTCACTGCTGCATACTCCAACTCCATTAGTAAGAACACAAAATACTTATAAAGTACCAGACAAGGCTTCTATAGTACACTTTATATAAAAAAGGCAAGTATCCACATGTTGTGTTCTGCAGAGTACCAGCAGACTAAATGACAAGATAATAGCATGGAATATCTGAATTAAGTATGTGTCAGGCTCTCATGTTCATAAAGGTCTGACTTTCCTTTCCATCCCAACTTTTCTTCAGAGTATCTCCAGGCCAACAATCATGACTCCCTCAGAGTTTTGATGCTGCATGAAATGGGAAACCTACATTTCTACAGCGGTAACACAAGGTTAGAAAAATGTATCCACAGAGTGTGCATGTATGCGCGTTGAAGTCAGCTTACAGCCTTTTACTGTATGCATTCACCTGCAATTGTACAGCAAAAAAGTGTAAGTTGAGCTTTTTTGTGATTTTCCTTGCATTCTTATAATAATTTAATCCCTGTCTGTGTTTTATCTCAAGGGCTGCACACTCATTCTGGAGTAAAGCTGTAGATTGTGCCTTACAGAGCACAGGTGCTGTAGAGAAATGGGATGGTGTGTTGTTTGGAAGTGGCTCCCTGCAACAAACCCTGAAACAGGCTGGCATTTGGGCATGTCTACAGGCTGCTGGGCTCACTGCTAAGATTGCACAGTAGGTTTCGGTGAAGTTTGTCATTGATTTGATTTGTTTTTTGTGTAGATTGCAAACATATCCCTTTAAACCTATTTGCTCCTGAGGGATGTTTTTCTCTACAGGTATATTTTAACGTCTGATATCAGACAGCGGACTAAGTATTGTCTCATCTCTGCTCACCTGTTTAAGGTAATACTTCCGGGGGATATTAATCTCTCTTATCACAAACATGTTTTTTATTTTATTTAAGGAATGATGACACTAAATGTTTTCGCTTTAATGACTGTATGTTTTATTCTGTGTGCGTATATGTCCATTTATTCTGACATACCTGTATTTGTGTGTGCGTGTGTACGTAAACCACTTCCATAGTGTGTGCTGTGCTGCTCCCTGGCTCAACCCCAAGTCGACCTCCATTATGCCTCCCACAGCATCAGAGATGAACTGCTCCCTGGAGTTGACCTTTTCTCTGAACCTCACAGGGTTCACCTTGGTACCACTGTAACCAGCCTTAATTTCCTCTGCCACTGGCTTTTCACCACAGGATACTACATCACGGTACACACGTAAACACTGTCTGTGTGCCCTCATTTTGAACTGCAATGCTCAAAATATGTAATTGACTTAAGTGTTAAACTATCATTGTAATTTCAGCTACTGCCCATACTAGCTCTTTACCTACATTTTGTGGGGACTGTGTGCAGAGATGTGCAACGCACTGTTGAGGGCAAAATACTTAAGGTCAGCCTTTGTGTTGTCTCCTGTATGTGCATGTGAACGTTTTTCCTCTGTGGTTCTCAGTGAGAGTTTTTAACCTGCGTTGGTGTTTTCTGCAGATACGTGCCCTTACTGAACTCTGTCTGTTCACTGAAGCTGCAAAAGAGACAGTTAAGCTCACACAAGGAATAGGTGTCCTTCTGCCTTATGGACACTACATTGCCAAAGACGATCACCAGGTATGAGCATACATTTAGAAAGACATATATATGTTCCCTCTTTGTCTTTTTCTCTCTTAGTCTGTGTCAACTGGTAATATTACAATGTGTTGCATATCACTGTTGCAACACATTTTGCAACATCATATACACTTAGCATACCCTTTGTACTTTTAGTAACAGTTTTTGCTTTGTTTGTAATACTATAAATCTGAATCTTTCATGGAATTGTGAACACATGGGTTGTTTGCCTGCCATCCTCTAAGAGTATGTGTACTGTATCTGCTGTTGCAGATCTAATTTATACATTAGTGCGAGATAGACTGCCTCTGCACAGCATTGAAAGTATTGCTATTTTCGTTTGTTTATACATGCCATAATCTGAATAGATATTATATATTGTGCTTATTGTGCAGCCTGTCAAGACATTCTACAGCAACAAATCTCTCCTGGACAATGCTGAGGTACTTTCTATATGGGATTTCTGTAGATTTTCTAAATTCTTTATTGACCTGTTCTCAGTCTCAGTGCTGTTGTTTCAGCTATGCATTTGACAAATTAAAACTTCTAAATGTGCTAACTACATTTTACGTTTTTTGTGAATGTACTTTGTGTGTACGTGGTGCCTGTGGTTAGGCTTTGGAAGAACTTATGAACTGTGACTTTGCTCCAACGGTCCGAACGTTGTATGGATCCACATTGTGCCTCCGATTGAACCTGGCTCGCGTTCAACTAGTCCTGGCACTCAGTAACACCGTACATGGCCCTCCTGTGCCAGGTGTGTAAGCTAGAGTACCTCTCTCTGTGATTTATTTTGGTTTATATTTGGATCATGTGACATCTCTCATTGGAGTAGGGATGGAGACATACAATTAAACTATCATACATTTAATTGACATTAAGACATGCCCTTTTTGTGTTCTCCATTTCTCCAGGTATCCAGCATCCTGAAGATGTATTTGTCTTCTTGAGATAAACATGCTTTGATACTTAATAGATAGAATGATAAAAAATAGAACCAATTTACCTTCAAGATTGGTTATTTAGTGGGTGAAATAGTTAAAGTTAAAATTCGATTCCATTATATTAATCATCTTTATCATACTGTGCTGTAATTTGGGAACTAAAGCATTAACATTCACTTTAAATACAAATAATTTGATTTTATTCTAAAAGAGTCACTGTGTATCAAACAATTGTTTATGCACATAGTGGAATTGTCTTTCAGATTCTGTTGAAGGAGAAGCTTCTGCCAGCATAACAGGTTGTTTGGTGAACTCAAAACACCATGAACAGGACAGATCAGATACTGAGAGCTCCTATCTAAAGATGGAAGAGCCAAAGGTGCTGGATCTTGATACACAGAATCTGACTCTAGAAAGGATTAAGGTGAGACTTCCTGAGGATTTTCCTTTTGATCTTTACTTCAGGGGTTTGCCACATCCTGTAATTTTTCATTGAACTGTTTTTGTCTTGGCACCTCATAGTAAATATGAGGCAGTTTTTTTTTATCTTCAACTTGTTTGTGTTATTTTGCCCATGTTTGTCATCTCCTCTGTTATAGTTCCTTTTGTTGAAAGGAGCGTCCTCCTTGTTGCACTCCATTTCACAGCAGCTCATATCTCAGTGCTTTAGCAAAATGGAGAACCTGGAACTGGCAATAGAGTCTAATCTTCTAAAGGCCAACCTCTGCCTGCAGCAAGGACATACTGCAATTAGGTACAGTGGTCTTATGTGTGTGTACTGTGTGTGTGTGTTTGCTTATGCTTGTATTTCCTGACCATTTTAATATCCTCCTTCAGTTCAGAAATGGCAGTTTCATCTTTGGTGCTGCTGCAGACGTCACCTGTAATCATGAGAGGATTACCTGGCTCTCAGAAACCTGTGTCTGAGCTCCCACATCCCAGGACTGGAAGTGAATGGGTAGCATGTTTATATAAATTAGTTCATATAAATTCATGCATATGAAAGCCTTACCTGTATGCTGTCTTGTAAACATAACAATAATACAACCAGCATGAAACAAGAATGAAACAGCTGACAACACCAACATAAAAGTGGTACCTCTGAGTGTGTCATCAACTGGAATATGATGATGAAGATGATGTGATCACGTTCATTCAAAATATGCAAATAACCACACAGCAGTAGAACTGTGATTAATGTACATGGTGTGTATGCTTGTATGTGTCGACAGGGTACAAAAGACCCCCTACATGGAGACTGTCCCAGAGCAGTTGAGGCAAGTGAGAGAATTGGAGTTTTTCTGTGGCTACGTTGCCGCCTGGCTCTGGTCCACAGCCTGGCTGCACACATCCGTGGCACCGCTGCCCTTTCTCCAGGTCTGCTCATGTGTTGTGATGCTCTTTCATGTTTTTTCTGAGTAATGTGTCTTGGGCTAAAACAGTTACACTAATATCATAAGGATCTCAAATCTCAAAACAAATTAAAGATCTACCCTTCACTAGTACTGGATGTACACTTGAGAAATACATGTAGGATTAATTTACTTTGTACCTTTACATTATTTCACATAACAAGGCTTGGCATATTATGCCCAGTGTGCCGCATAAAGAATTATGACGAATCATTCAATCTGTGCACATATAAATGTGTGTGTTTGGTGACTGTCTTTTTAAGGTAAGAACATTAATGAAGAGGCAGCTAAGGTCTTACAGGAGGGTCTTGATGAATGTGTGCTATGGGGAGAGCTTGATATTCAAGCCCTTTTGATGGTCGAAGCTGCAGAATTGGAAGCACAGAGAGGCAAGAGGGATGACAGCATGGCAATGCTACAGGTACCAATGCACACAAACACCTCTTTTCACTTTTTATTCATAAATATTTTAGTAAATTTTACTAAAGAAAGAGCAAGAAAAAACATCAACAAAGCAAGGGAAACAAGTTGGTTATTGATTTCTTGGCCTCCTAAATTTGTGTCCATATTGTCCTTGGATTATTTAGATCGAGATATGATGGGCCTTTATAGCTGCAGTGAAGGTTACTCATTTTAAAAATGTTATTTTTTCCATTGCATATATATATCACATATTATGTCTAGCCATTGTTTAATACTGGGGAGAGTCCTTTTTATACCAGTTTTTAGTTGCTGCTTTTTTTTAGGCAACCAGTAGAATTTTACAAAGATATAGATCACTTTTTTATCACATCTTCTTTTATCGCTTTGTGTCCTTATAATTCATAACCTAAAATGTCTCTATGGATTAAAGATATATTCACATAAAATATGGTAGCCTAATCTTTTCACATGGACAAAAAATATGGGAATTAGTAGCATTTATATGTGCTAATGGAAAAGTTTGTGTTATTATTGTAACCATATAATTTTTTGTTGAAGCATGTACACATTGCACATACCTAAGTTTGGAAATTTAAATTAAACAATTAACAATTAGTTGGGCGTACAAACTGATAGCTGAATAGAATAGGCATGTTTGACAAGTCTGTGTCCACAGATAGTTCACTGACACAGGTCCAGTGGAACCATCTCTCACAAAGTGTGCATCCAATCTAGCAGGAAAGGAAAAAGATTACATGCATAGCAGTTACATAATTTAAGACATTACAGTAATCAACTTCAAGCGTTTCAAACTTGACTTACCCCACTGCTCATGCCTGTCATGCTGACCACACTGCCGATACAGTTGAGACAAATCATCTGTTAATCATCTGTTGATTACAGATAGTCATGTCATTTCCTCAAATCACCAGTACTTCCACAACAAGAAAATACAAATATATATAAACCCACCTGTTGCCTTGATAAAAGTTTGGGCTATTTCTATTCTTAGTTGGACTATCTTCTGCTCATCAAATGAAAAATCCATTTGGGGAGTTTGCTACATTAAAATCATGTCTGCCAACTTTAAGAAATAAGTTGAGAATGCATGGAAGCTTAGCAAATGCAGTAATGTGTTTTTCTGAAGTGATGTAATATTAACAGCACAATTGCTTACTTTACACACAATAACACCACATGAAGTTCCATCTTTTTGACGTGGGTGAGGTATCCCTTTAGTTGAGCAGTTCAACAAGAGCAGTTGAGGCACCGCTGCCTCATCAAAGCCCTGTTTAGTGGAGAGCTTGTGAAAAATAACCCCTCACACACAACACATGGATATTTCCCACCTCACTATTGCCCTCTCCTACCTGTTGATATCTCTGGACTTATTGAATGCCTCAGTTTCAGCTCCAAACGGATCAATATAAATTGACCGTTTCTGTTGTGGATGCATTGCCGAGACAATGTAGAAACAGATACATATAATACAATAAAATCAACATGTATTATGTACAATCTGAATATAAAAAAGGCCCCTTACAGTCAGTGTCCAATGGTTGTTATGGCAAACAGCTCCCACCATTACATCATAATCCATGGGATCCACCTGCCAATTAGTACAATAACACTGAATTTCTCCTTATTATCCACAGTGTTATTACATTCATCACTTACCTAAACCAGGCTAGCTAGGAATCAAACTTAGAATCTTCTGATATGTCATCAAACATGTGATCCATTGTGCCACTAAGCTAATACATAATTGTATGTATACAGTTGTGGTCTGGTATACATTAGTATGCATTAAACACAAGTATACAAACACCAAAGTAAAACAACATACTTGTCTATTGTTGCTGTTGTTTTGTTGTATTCTTGCTCTACATACCAAAGGTTCTTCTATTTTATCTGTGATGGCTTTTCTCAGTGTGTGACAAAAGAAAGTCATGTTCAAAGGATGATTCATCTATTGGTGTTATATGTTCTTCTTGGACAATAGCTCCATGCCAGCTGTGAATGAAGGATTCAGACTGTTTGAAACACATTTAGCTATCATTTGGTCAGTGCATTTCGATACATAGTATGTAGAGGAGGAGTTTTGGAAATGATGGAAAAGTTGTAGTTAAAGTTAAAGTAGGCCAACCTAGCCAGGAGTCGAACCTAGAATCTTCTGATCCGTAGTCAGACGCGTTATCCATTGCGCCACTAGCCCTCCAAAGTCGGTTTTGAAATGAATATGACGAGTAAGTAATTCTAAAAGCAAGAATGGGGCCAGGCCAGCTCTGAATGAAGGATTCTGACTGTTTGAAGGACAATTAGCTATCATTTGGTCAGTGCATCTTGATACATAGTATGTAGAGGAGGAGTTTTGGAAACGACGGACAAGTTGTAAGTTAAAGTTTATATCGAGCTAGCCAGGAGTCGCACCTAGAATCTTCTGATCCGTAGTCAGACGCGTTATCCATTGCGCCACTAGCCCTCCAAAGTCGGTTTTGAAATGAATATGACGAGTAAGTAATTCTAAAAGCAAGAATGGGGCCAGGCCAGCTCTGAATGAAGGATTCTGACTGTTTGAAGGACAATTAGCTATCATTTGGTCAGTGCATCTTGATACATAGTATGTAGAGGAGGAGTTTTGGAAACGACGGACAAGTTGTAAGTTAAAGTTTATATCGAGCTAGCCAGGAGTCGCACCTAGAATCTTCTGATCCGTAGTCAGACGCGTTATCCATTGCGCCACTAGCCCTCCAAAGTCGGTTTTGAAATGAATATGACGAGTAAGTAATTCTAAAAGCAAGAATGGGGCCAGGCCAGCTCTGAATGAAGGATTCTGACTGTTTGAAGGACAATTAGCTATCATTTGGTCAGTGCATCTTGATACATAGTATGTAGAGGAGGAGTTTTGGAAACGACGGACAAGTTGTAAGTTAAAGTTTATATCGAGCTAGCCAGGAGTCGCACCTAGAATCTTCTGATCCGTAGTCAGACGCGTTATCCATTGCGCCACTAGCCCTCCAAAGTCGGTTTTGAAATGAATATGACGAGTAAGTAATTCTAAAAGCAAGAATGGGGCCAGGCCAGCTCTGAATGAAGGATTCTGACTGTTTGAAGGACAATTAGCTATCATTTGGTCAGTGCATCTTGATACATAGTATGTAGAGGAGGAGTTTTGGAAACGACGGACAAGTTGTAAGTTAAAGTTTATATCGAGCTAGCCAGGAGTCGCACCTAGAATCTTCTGATCCGTAGTCAGACGCGTTATCCATTGCGCCACTAGCCCTCCAAAGTCGGTTTTGAAATGAATATGACGAGTAAGTAATTCTAAAAGCAAGAATGGGGCCAGGCCAGCTCTGAATGAAGGATTCTGACTGTTTGAAGGACAATTAGCTATCATTTGGTCAGTGCATCTTGATACATAGTATGTAGAGGAGGAGTTTTGGAAACGACGGACAAGTTGTAAGTTAAAGTTTATATCGAGCTAGCCAGGAGTCGCACCTAGAATCTTCTGATCCGTAGTCAGACGCGTTATCCATTGCGCCACTAGCCCTCCAAAGTCGGTTTTGAAATGAATATGACGAGTAAGTAATTCTAAAAGCAAGAATGGGGCCAGGCCAGCTCTGAATGAAGGATTCTGACTGTTTGAAGGACAATTAGCTATCATTTGGTCAGTGCATCTTGATACATAGTATGTAGAGGAGGAGTTTTGGAAACGACGGACAAGTTGTAAGTTAAAGTTTATATCGAGCTAGCCAGGAGTCGCACCTAGAATCTTCTGATCCGTAGTCAGACGCGTTATCCATTGCGCCACTAGCCCTCCAAAGTCGGTTTTGAAATGAATATGACGAGTAAGTAATTCTAAAAGCAAGAATGGGGCCAGGCCAGCTCTGAATGAAGGATTCTGACTGTTTGAAGGACAATTAGCTATCATTTGGTCAGTGCATCTTGATACATAGTATGTAGAGGAGGAGTTTTGGAAACGACGGACAAGTTGTAAGTTAAAGTTTATATCGAGCTAGCCAGGAGTCGCACCTAGAATCTTCTGATCCGTAGTCAGACGCGTTATCCATTGCGCCACTAGCCCTCCAAAGTCGGTTTTGAAATGAATATGACGAGTAAGTAATTCTAAAAGCAAGAATGGGGCCAGGCCAGCTCTGAATGAAGGATTCTGACTGTTTGAAGGACAATTAGCTATCATTTGGTCAGTGCATCTTGATACATAGTATGTAGAGGAGGAGTTTTGGAAACGACGGACAAGTTGTAAGTTAAAGTTTATATCGAGCTAGCCAGGAGTCGCACCTAGAATCTTCTGATCCGTAGTCAGACGCGTTATCCATTGCGCCACTAGCCCTCCAAAGTCGGTTTTGAAATGAATATGACGAGTAGGTAATTCTAAAAGCAAGAATGGGGCAGGGCCAGCTGTGAATGAAGGATTCTGACTGTTTGAAGGACAATTAGCTATCATTTGGTCAGTGCATTTTGATACATAGTATGTAGAGGAGGAGTTTTGGAAACGACGGACAAGTTGTAAGTTAAAGTTTATATCGAGCTAGCCAGGAGTCGAACCTAGAATCTTCTGATCCGTAGTCAGACGCGTTATCCATTGCGCCACTAGCCCCATGTACACATGTATGATGTATAACATAGATTGTGACAGAATTGCATATAAACAGTTGTGCAGTTGTAGTCAAGTGTGGAGAATACCAGACGCCTGTAACAAGTACATGTAAAACAAAGTACCTATGTATTGTTGCCATAAAGTTGTAGACAAATGTAGAGAATGCCAGTCAACTCCAACAAGAATCAATAAAACAACTACACTTTATATTGTTGCCGTGACCCGGATTCGAACCGGGGTTGCTGCGGCCACAACGCAGAGTACTAACCACTATACGATCACGGCGACTCCTTTTAATTGCTCGCTGTAGTGATAGCATATTTCCATGTCTTCATACCAAAGGTTCCTCTATTCTTTATGTAATGGCTTTTCTCAGAGTGTGACTAAAGTCAGTCAAGTTTACTGGATGACTGATCTGTCACTGTTGTATAATTTCTTTATTCTCAAAAGTCGGTTTTGAAATGAATATGACGAGTAGGTAATTCTAAAAGCAAGAATGGGGCCAGGCCAGCTGTGAATGAAGGATTCTGACTGTTTGAAGGACAATTAGCTATCATT